ATAAACAATAGAGGGATTTAGGGCTGGAACTTGGGAGACCATTACTTCATGTTGGAGATGAATTCTCATGCCCAAAGTCACACAGGAAGTAAATGGTAGACCAGAACTAAAACCCAGGTCTTGGGACTTGTACTGCTGAGTCCTCTCCACACCAGGCCCAATAAGCCCAAAAACCAGCGGCCAAAGAAGCTTCCTGTCCAGGAGCCCTGGATTGGCCCCAGTGCTATAGATGAGGCCAAGTGCCTTAGACATCAAGAATCTTCACTCAAGTTCCTAGGTCCTAGAAAGAACCTGGCCTCCACCCCTCCAACTTTCCTTTCAGGTATCTCCCTGTCTATATTCTAACCAAACTGGACAACCTGGATTCTGTGGCTCAGTTCCCTGCTCAACTGAAACCTGACTCCTTTTGGAAGGATGTACACGTATGTGATGCAGTGCAGTGTGGTCACCAGACTTGTGTTCATGTCCTAGCTTCAAAACCGACTTCGTGGATTTTGCCCACCCTCCTCCTCATGGCTTTATGAACCCTAAAGAACTATGGAAATGCCAAGTGTGTAGTGATCATTTGATAGGCATATCTGTGTGTGAGCATGGAACATTCTTATGTAATGTGCATGCACATCTTTCTGTATGTTTGCAGAGTACTTTAAATGTCACCTCACAGCCCTGGGAGGTAGTTCTTATTGTTGTCACCCCCATTTTGCCGACAAGGTTCACAGCTAACAAGCATAAAGCAATATATGAACTCTACCCTCCATGCTGACAGGCTCCAGACACACCCGGCCTGGCCAACTAGCGCCCTCTCCTGGGGAGGAAGGGAACTGCAGGCCCCCATCCCAGGTCAGATGTCCAACACGCAGGTGTGAAGGCTGGTGCTAGAAACTGGGAACTACACAGTAAATCACAAAGCAGTCCCTGCTTTCAAGGTACACACCTAATACTAAGGGAATACAACACTGTACTAAGAATACCATAATCAAAAGCAGAGTGATTGAAGCAAGGGTAAGATCGGGGACTCTGGGAAAATTTAATGAAGAACAAATTTTAAGCAATCAACAAATATTTATTAAGCACTTACTATGTGCTAGACAGTGTGCTAAGCAGAAGGAATACAAGGAAAGGCAAAGCATAATCCCTGCCCTCAAGGAGCTCACATTCTAACAGGAGAAATAACATGCAAATGACAACAAACATGTAAATGGAAGGTCCGGTGTAGACTGAAGGCACTAGTAGTAAGGGGAGACTGGGAAGGGCCTCCTACAGAAGATGGGATTGGACCTAACAAGAGTTTTGTGTTTAAAGAATAGCAAGAAATCCAGAATCGCTGGATCTTACAGTGCATGGTAATAAGCATCAGAAGGCTGGACAGACAGGAAAGGACAAAGTTGTGAAGGGCTTTAGAGCCCAAATGTGTTAGTTTATTGGGCAGAAGGACGTGGTTTAACCTGTGCTTGAGAAAGATCAATTTGGGGGCAGCTACGTGGTACAGTGGATATAGCACTGGCCCTAGAGTCAGGAGGACCAGGGTTCAAATCCAACCTGAGATACTAGCTACATGACTCTGGGTAAGTCACTTAATCCCAATTGCCTCCTCGCAAAAAACAAAAAAAACAATTTGACAGCAGAGTGGAGAACAGAGGGGAGGAGACAGGGCGGGCAAACCCACCAGCAGCTACTATAATACATCAGACACAAGGGCCTGCACCAGGGTGATGGCAGCATCAGAGTTGAGAAGGGGACATATTGGAGAGATGTGAAGATACATTTGGCAAAAGACTGACTGTGGGATGAGAGCAAGTGCGGTGGTGGCAAGTCTAGGTAACTGGATGGTCGTGCCCTCCACAGGAATAGGGAAGTCTGGAAGGTGGGTTTTGGAGTAAAGATGAATAGTTTTAGATATGCTAAGTTGGAGACGTCCAAAAGGCAGCTGGTACCTGAGAAGGGAGCTGAGGAGAGATGAGGCCCATGACAGCTGAACCGAGCCTTGACAGAGGTGGTGAGCAGAGGCAGAAAGAACAAAGCAAACTACGAAAGGCATGGGGAGAAAAGCCTCCATTAATGTTCTGAGAACAAACGGCCAATTGTGAAGGACCTCACGTGCCGGGGCCATGAAGTTCACGTTGGATATTATTTGACAGGTAAGAGGAAGCCACTGATGGTTTCTGGGCAAAAGACTGTAGACATACCTGTCCTCAGGAGGCCTCTATGTGGCAGACAGACTGGACAGGGGAGAGATGGAGCATGGAGGCCACACAGTACCTTATTCCAGTAGTCCAGGCAAGATGTGACAAGGGCCTGAACCAAGGGTAGTGGCCAGGAGAGAGAAGGGAAGGGATGTCAGAAAGACTGTGGAGGTAGAATCAACCCAAGCTGGCAAGAGACTGGCTGAGAGCAGAGGGCACGAAGAGCCAAGGACTCTTCCAGGTACAACCTGGCACTGTCCTCGACAGAAGTCTGGAGCAAGGGCAAGATAAAGGGTGATGAATTGTTTTGGACACATGAAGTCTGGGAGGCCAGCAGGACACCTGGATAGATCAAGTAGAGCTGGAAGGGGCCTTAGGGGCCACCTAGTGGATTCCTCATTTTACAGATGAAGGCTCTGAGGTCCTTGCCAGGGTCACAAGGCAGTAACATCTAGCAGACAGCTGGTGATGATTCAGGAAAAATCTAGGCTGATACATAGATGTGGAAGTCATGTGCCAGCAATCAGATCATCACTGATAACATATTTAATAAAAGCTGCAGCAGAACAGTCCCTCATTAGCCAGCTGGTAGCACCTACTACACACAGGGCCCTGGGTTCTCAGGCTGGGGGAGGAGACGATGCTTAGGACAGAGGAAAGACCCACCCCCCACCCCCGAGTGGGGAGGTACACAGGGCTCCTGGATGCTCATCCCTTCTCTCCAAGCTCACCTCCTTACCTACAGAGCAGGGGAGATGGTCCTTGCCCTGCCTACTTCCCGGCAGTGGTGTGAAGGACAAGGTTTACAAAAGTGGATCAACATAATAAGCAGTGTTATGTGGGGACAAGCTGATCTTGTAGTAGTAGTGGTGGCAGGGGAGAGGATATGTACTACTTATGTGATCCTGAGCAAGTCCTCTCCCCTCTGCCTCAGTTTCCTTCTCTGCAAAATGATGTAGTTACCAGTAATACCTAAGGCCCCCTTCTTTCCTCTGAGCTAATGAGCCAACTCATGGAGAGCACTGGGGGAGACAGAATCAAGGCAAGATTTGGGAGTCACAAGTTTTGGATTCCAACCCTGGCTCTGTGACCTTGAACAAGGAAACCTCTCTGGGCTTCAGTTTCCTGCTCTGCAAAATAAAAAGGTGGAACAGAAGCTTTCTCAGGACCCTTCCAGCCCTCCATCCCATGATCATCCTGGCTGGTGTCCCTCCAGAGACTTCATTCAGGTTCTTCCTACTCCTTCCACAAGGGTCCCCACACCTCAAATCCTCCTCCTCCTCTTCTCTCACCCTTCCTCGTAGTTCTCAGTGCCTGCACAGGCCACAAGGGCTCAGGGGGCAGCTCAGGGGGCTATTACTTTCCCTGTTCAGGCCTCTCTAAAAGGACAGGACTAGACCAGAACAAGACTTCTTAACCTGGAGCCCATACAGAGATTCGGGGGGAGTCTGTGAATTTGGGGGAGAAAAAAAATTCATATTTATTAACTTCTACCTGAAACTGAACATTTCCTTCAATGACGATTTTTTTTTTAAAAAGCCATTATTCTGAGGAGTCACTAGTAATTATAATTGGAAGTTAAACATTATTCTTCACCAGACTGCCAGAGGGATCTATGAGCCAAAAAAGGTTAAGAACCCTTGGACTAGAGGCTCTCTCAAGGTCCTTTCCTGCTCGAAATCCGACAATCTCATTGAGGTGTACCACTTGACCTACTTTTAAGGGCACTGAGTGACCCCCTTAGAGTCTCCTAGAGGCTCCTTTTACACCACTGTTCCTGATGCCAAAGGTCCTTTGAAATCCAACAAAAGACCCACCTCAACCTGGGAGTCTGTGGGTTCTACAGTCCTGTAGTGCTCTAGAACCTACCTCAATCTTAAGTGTCACCCACTCATGACCCTGTTCCTATGTCAACCTGCCCCAGTGATGCTGCTGCTCCTCATCTGGCTTGATCTTCCAGACACTGAGGAACAATCCTAAGCAAGACAGGCTCCTGGGGGAGACTGAGGCAGCTCCTCCTAACCCACCAGAGCTTGTGAGCACAGGCAGCACACCCCCTCCCCTGCATTTGGTATCCAAATCCACCCTTGAAGGATGAAGGCCTGCTGCCAGTGAGAACCAGAACCAAATGCAGACTGAGGTCACCGAGAAGAGGCCATGTTCTAGGTCTTGAGACTTGGATTTGAATCTGCGCTGTTGCAGTTACTGTGTGACCTGGGCAAGTTACTCCTCTGAATGTTCCCTCATCTGTAAAATGGGGATGATACCCCCAGAGCTGCTGTGTGGAAAGTGTTGTAGCAATGGAAGCCATTATTAACATGCTAAAAGCAAGTGCTGAAGGCCAGGCTCCGAGGCATCCTAAATGAGGCCTGAGTAATGACTGCCTTCTTGAAAGAGGCAGTCACACAGAGCACAATGTTCATTTGGATTTCTCAGGTCTAGTGATGGTTAAAACAGTCCTCCCTCTTCAGTATTTCAGGAATCACAGATGTCCAAGCTGGAAGACCTTAAAACAGGAAATGTTAGTAAAATCACAGCCCGAGGGTACTGTGTACCATCGAGTCCCAAGACATCCTCATCTGCATAAGTAAGAAAAGAGAGGCTACAGAGGGGACCTGCCTTGTCCCAGGTCAGACAGCTACAGCCCTTAAAAACTGATAAGGCACTTTCTTCACTCCCACAACCCTGTGAGGTAGGGAGTAAAAAGAATCATTATAGAAGGAGAAGCGAAATCTTAGGAAGCCAGGTGACATCCATGCTCAAACGACTTGGGGAGGCAAAGTCAGGATCAGAACCCAGGTTTCCTGCCCCCAAGTCTTTTTTTTGCTAAGTAAGGAATGTGCTGCTTTCCTTCCTGTGAACTCAGCTGAAGTCATCTGAGGGGGATAGATCTGGGACAAAGGAGCCCAGGCCCAGACGTCTGCTCTTCACTCCACCTGGGCGTAAAACTCCCTGAGAAGCAAGGAAGCAGGCAGAAAGAAGCTTTACTGGGAGGAGGGTCGGGGGCAGGGGCAGGGTAGGAGGTAGCATCCCTTCAAACAGCCCCACTGAGGGAAGGACCCAGTGTCTCTGCCCTGCCCCTCAGTGGACAAGGAAGCCCATCACTCCAGCAGCATTGGAGAGCTCGGGCTCCTCCGGAAGCAGGTGTGAGGGCTATGGCCTTTCAGCCCAGAGGAATGAGCTCACAGGACTCTAGGACTGGGGGGAGGGAGGGGTCCCTGGGTATACCATCTGCTTTCCAGGCCGAGGTTCAGTCATCTGAGTCATGCCGCTGCCTCTTGTGCTGGGGCTGAACCTCAGGGCTCCGGTTTCTTCTCTTGTGGCTGGGGGAGGAGCGACCACTGTCCAAAGAGTCCGCATCGTGCCTGCTCCCGGGTGGGTGGGACCGGGAGGAAGGGGAAGGTGAGGCACGGTATTGGGGGGCTCTGTGCCTATGGGAGACAAACACAGAGGATAAGAATACAATTCAGGGTCACTGTAGAAAGAGAACAGGGAACCTGGAGACTAGAGTCTCATCGGCTTCCATAAACACTTAGTAAGTTGTAGTTATACTCCCTGGACAATGTCTCGCTGCGTGACTTTGGCCAGATCATTTTCCTCTCTGGGTCTCAGTGACCTTGTCTGTAAAATAAGTAACAATCTTCATGCTACCATTTCACCAGGTAACTGTGAGGAGAAAGCTTTTTGCAAACTCCTAAGTGCTAGATATGCAGTGAAGTTCCGACAATGAAAGCAGAGTGCGACATCTCTCCTCTGGGGGCCTGCCTCTCGAGTCTCTCCCCATCCAGCCCATCCAGCACCCAGCCATCCAAGTATTTGGCCACATCTGGCCATGTCACCTCCCTATTCAACTGAGACCAACAGAGACCAGCAGAGATCTTCTGTTCGGTTTTGGAAGCCCTCTGTCACCTGGCCCCATCCTAGGCTTTCCTTCCCAGTCTGTGACACTGGCCTTCTGAAGGCTGTTCCTCAAACAAGGTCCTCTCTCTCTCCTGATTCCATGTACTTAGAATGGCTGCCCCTGGGCCTGGAAAGCTCTCCCTGCTTAACTCTGTCTCCTGACTTCCTGCAAATCTCAACTAAAATACCTCCTTCTGAAATTAAAGCCATCTATAGTCATATGAAAAAAATGCTCTAAATCACTATTGATTAGAGAAATGCAAATCAAAACAACTCTGAGGTACCACATCACACCTATCAGATTGGCCAACATGACAAAACAGGAAAATGATAAATGCTGGAGAGGATGTGGGAAAATTGGGACACTAATGCATTACTGGTGGAGTTGTGAAATGATCTAACAATTTTGGAGAACAATTTGGAACTCTGCCCAAGGGACTATAAAAATGTGCATACCCTCTGACCCAGCAATAGCACTTCTAGGGCTATATCCCAATGAGATCATACAAATGGGAAAAGGACCCACATGTACAAAAATATTCATAGCAGCTCTTTCTGTGGTGGCAAAGAATTGGAAATTGAGAGGATGCCCATCAACTGGGGAATGCCTGAGCAAGTTGTGGTATATGAATGTAATGGAATACTATTATACTATAAGAAATGATGAGCAAGCAGACTTCAGAAAAACCTGGAAAGGCTTGTATGGTCTGATGCTGAGTGAAGTGAGCAGAACCAAGAGAACGTTGTACACAGTAACAGCCACATTGTGCGATGACTAATATTGATAAACTTAACCCTTCTCAGCAATACAAGGATCTAAGACATCCCCCAGAGGCCTAGTGATGGAAAGTGCTATCCACATCCAAAGAAAGAACTATGGAAGTTGAATCACTATCTTTTTTTTTTCTCTTCTGTTGAGTTTTGTTTCCTCTTTCTGATGGTTCCTCATATTGGTTTTAATTTTGACTTATAACATCACTAATGTGAAAATATGTTTAATAGGAATTTAAATGTAAAGCCTATATCAGATTGTGCGCCATCTTGGGGAGGGTGGCAGGGAGGAAGGGGGAGAAAAATTTTAAACTCAAAAGCATATGGAAGTGATTGCTGATAAATCAAAATAAATTACTAAAATAAATTTAAAAAAAAACAAAATAAAATAAAATAAAATCCCTCCTTCTGAAAGAAGTCTCTCTTGTACCCCCCTTGCTGAGAATGCCTTCCCTCTGAGACTACCTACAATCTATTTTGTATCTCTTGTTCCTACAGTCATTTGCCTGTTGTTTCGTTCATTAGAATGTAAGCTCCTTGAGGTTTTTGTCTCTGTCTCCTCAGCACTTAGCACAGTGTCTGGCACATAGTAAGCATGTAACAAATGCTTGATGACTGACCAACTGACCGTGCTAAGGCCCTATCATAAACACATGCTCCTGCAACAGAGGTGACAAGGGGCTTTGGTACTCTTCAAGCTCTCCCCCACTGGGAAGGCATTCCCTCTTCCTTTGGCCTCTGCAAACAACCTTTGTCCATTAAGGCCCCATCTCCTGCTCCCCCACTTCACATTGGCCTCCTGCTTTTCTGAACCACATTATTTTAATTGCTGAGGAATGAAGAAAGAACTGGGCAGTGGGCGATGTGAATTACAGCGCCAGCTCTGCTACCACCTGCTCATTTCTGGTCATCAGTAAATCACATCTCGAAGGCTCCTTCCAACTCTCCTTGGGCAGTCGAGGGATTGTAGTGCCCTCTACCTGTGACTTATCACCCCAAATAAACTGGGAGCTCCTAGATGGCTTTTCTCATCCCCCCCCAGCAACACTCAGCGATGCTAGAAGCATCATACCTGTCTGGGGAAGCGGAGGGGGACGATAATGCGAAGCGCCTCTTAGAATGTTTCTCTTTCTTCTTCTCTTTCTTGTGTTTCTTCTTCTTCTTCTTCTTCTTCTTCTCTTTTTTGACTTTCTTGTGGCTCTCAGGCCTGTTGGGGAAATGAAGAGGATGAATAGACCGTGTGACAGTCCCTACACAACACCTAAGCTCTCTTGCCCTCAGGCTTCTCATCTGTAGCATGACGAGGTTGGACTGATGACCTAAGGCCCCTTTCAGCTCATTCTATGATATATATGGAAGAGCTGTAGGAGAACTGTCCCTATAACTAATCTGCTTGTTAACATTAAAAAATGGAAACCCAAATGGTGGACTGTCAGGATACGGCTGAAGGAACCATGCCAATTTCTCCCAGTCATCCACCCCAGGCCAAAGAGGAAGTGGTTATGATTGGCCTCTTTGACAACACAAATTTCCCTGGGAGTGTAATGGATCAAACTCCTCCCATTCCTACAGCAAGCTAAGGGGTACGAAACTGGAAGACAGGGCAAAGATTACTATCCCTGTTTTACAAATAAGGAAACTCAGGCAAAAGAGGAAAGGAAACTTGCCCGGGACCACAGATCTACAACATTAGCTTCCTGACTGCTTCCTCCTTGAGCACCTAGCTGAGTCCCCCTAGTCCCAGCAGCCATTGCCACCCCTCTACCTGGCCTGGTGCCACACACCTTCCCCATGCCTGGCTTCTGTGACCCCTTCCTTACCTCGTGTCTGTTTTCCGCTTGCCCATGGGAGGGGCTGATGGCATCGCTGTGGCACTGCTCTCCACCTTGTGATGCTAAGGATCAGAGGGTCACAGATTTAGAGCAGGAAAGGGTTTTAGAGGCCATCACAGATGAGGAAACTGAGGCCTAGAACACATAAGTGACTTACCCACAGTCACACAGGCTGTAAGGGGCAGAGCCAGAATTCAAACCCAGGTCCTGACTCCAAAGTTAGTGCCACAAAACCTCTCTTAAGCCAAAACACCATGTTGGTACAAGGGTGACTGACCTCAGTCTGACATCAACTGGCCATGTGTGAGAAGTGATTGAAAGAAGAAAAAGGAAAGAACAAGAAGAGCGAGCCAAGACCAACAAAGACGACCTCCCCAGATGGAGGCTAGCTGGCCAGGGACCTGGCTCAAGAGGACCCTCAGCAACACCCTGAGGACATTTCTCAGTCACAATTAAAACAGATGGTGTGGCAGAAAGAACTATGATCTTAGAGTCAAAAGTGAGGGGAGAGAAGTGAGGGCAAGAGGGGCGAGAGGGAAGGGGAGAGGGAGAGGGAGAGAGAAAAGAAAGAGGAGATAAAGAGGAAAGGAGGGAGGGAGGCAGGGGGAGAAAGAGAGGCAGAGAGAGAATGAGAGGGAGAAAGAGAGAGAGAGGGAAGGAGGGAGAGAGAGAGAAAATCACCTGTGTCTCCCTCATAGAATTGTGAGAAAAGCTTTGAAAACCCCAAACTGTAACAGAATGGTAGCAATAGCCTACCAACAGCCCCAAGAGTCAAGAAGCATACAACTGAAAGGGACAGAAATTAGCTGGTCCAATACCCTCACTGTACAGAACAGGAAACAGGCACAGACAGGAAAAATGACTCGTGTGAAACCACAAAGGTATCTAGAGATGAAGCAGGAATTCAAACTAGGTTCTTTTGACTCCAATACACTAAACTGCCAAAAACCAAACCAAAACAACACCCCCCACACACACACACAACTGATATCCTGCTGACCCCCATCCTACTGCCAGCACAATCATTCTCCTGCTGCTACTACTAGGACTAATGGCTGACCTTTATCACTTCCCAATTTGTCAAGTGCATTAAAGCATTTTCTAATGACAGCCTCACAATAGCCCTGGGGAGCGGGTATTATAAAACACCAAAGTGCATAATGGGTGCTCTGTCTACCACTTCCACAAGAGGGAGCACATCTAAGTGAATGTAGCGAGCACCTCAGGGAATAGAGCCCAAAGGCGCAGAGCTAGGATTCCAGGTGAGCTGGGTCTCCGGATTCCAAGCCTGCTGCCCCTGCCCTGTTCCCGAGAGCTGTGGCTCCTGCAGCAGCAAAGGATCTGGGTTCTGGGTCCTGTCTTTGTACCTCTTATCATAATTATCCAGCACCTCCTTCTGGGAGAGAAAGATGGAAGAAGGGAAGAGCATGGCCTAGTCAGTTCTAACTTCTTCGGTCTCTGCTTTGTGTTACAACAGGAGGGGGAGAGGGTGTGGCATTCAGAGGCCACGGAGAGAGGGAGGGAAGGAAGGAAGCTTTACCGTAAACACAGACAGCCCCAGCTTGGCGGCTTCTCTGTCTTCTTTGGAGAGCATCACCCGGCCGGCAGAACCACTGAGGAATACAAACACACACATGCCACATGCCATCGACTTCTAGTCATTGTCACAGCAGCTCCTATTTTGATAGGGCTTTGAGGTTTAGCACAAGAGGCAGAACCAGAAGAGGCCTTCAGGATTACTTTACAGATGAGGAAATGGAGGCCCAGAGAGAACAGTCTTTCCCCCACTGTCACCCAGCTAGTTAATTTCAGAGCCAAGAGATCTGAACACAGGCCTCTCATTGCAAGCCTAGCATGCCGCCCACTGCACTCCCATGCTGAGCCTCTGGTGTCAAGCCCAGTCAAGCCCAGCTCAGGCTTTACACAGTTCAGGAGTGCTGGAGCTGAACCGAGAACTCTAAGACCAGGGCCATCTCCATCACACCATACTGCCTGCCATGGACAGGTCACACATCACACCACCAGACCATTAACAAGCAATAATTCCAAGCCCTCACCCTACCCCAGTACCTGGAGCTCCCCAGGCCTGACAGCTGGTCCACATCCTTCTCCTCACGATCAGTCCCTTCCCGCTTGCAGATTTCCACAAAGTCCTGGAAGGCAAGCAGAGACATTGGCTTCACTCTGAGCAAGGGGAAGACAATTAGCTGTAGCAGACATTAGCTCACCACTTTTAATGCTGCAAGGATATTAATTCTACACAACAGGCCTGAGGAGGCTAGGTTTCAGATGCACTGACTTCTAAGGACGTTAACTGCCAAAATAGAGGGGAGATGAACAAGAAAAGACAGATTTCTTAATGATCCCATAGTGACATGGGCTAGTTTTCAAAAAGCCTGCCCAGGGTTAGGCTTCTGGATTGGCTAAGAGTGAGCTTGGCATTGTAAACCAACCAATAAGCTTGGTTTCAGAGCACCCAGGTGGGCCAGAATAATAACTAGCATTTATTTAGCAATTTAAGGTTTGCACAGTGCTGTACAGAGATGATCTCATTTGAGTAACAAGGCATTTAGGCATGAAAGACTGAGACTGCTGTCTGAGAGCAGGCCACGGGACCATGAGCTTCAGGGAAAAAGAATAACGATGATGATAATGATGATATTTAGTAAAGGAAAGGTCTGCATCAGTGTGGGTTTTCCCTCCACTGATGCAGACTGCCAATGTCCAGTGCCTCAGGAGACGGTCTTTGCGAGCTGCCAAAGCTGGAAGATTAACCACCTTCTCATCAATCCAGTAAGATGGTCAGTCCCTCTCAAGTTAGCCAGGCTAGGCCGTAAACAGTGAGGCCCAGATGCTCTAGCATTAGGAGCTGCCACAGTTTGCATTCTAAGTCACTCGGCCTTTGTGAGGTCAGTGACTTGTGAGGTCATTGCTGACTGGCCACCTTCTCTTGAGAATTAGTAATGACTCCATACATTGATGAAGCCTTATAGGACAGTATTAATAGGGATGTAAACCTAAGATGGTTCAGCTGGTAACGGGAAAAGAAATGGGATCCAGGAAGCTTTAGGCATCCTGATCCCCAATCTTATTCCCAGAACAAAGCAATTTCTCCCTTCTCAACTCACAAGAACATAGATTTAGGGGAAAAGGGACCTTAGAGAGAAGCAGCCCAACTGCCTCATTTGACAGACGTGCAAACTGAAGCCCAGTGAAGATAAATGACTTGCCCAGGGTCATACAGACAGTAAAGAACAGAGCTGGAGCTGAAACAAAATCATCTGATTCTAAATTCTGTGTTTTCCGCTATACATCTAAGGCAAGGAGAGGGTAAAGGGCTAGTTGTGAGAGCTAGGTGCTGTGAAGAGAAGGCAAAGCTTATCAAAATTCAGGGCCTGATTTCAAAAAGCTCATTTAGTCTGGAATTGACCCAAGAGGATCCCTTTTCATTTCCGACTGGGGACCTTTTCTTGGGAACCAGAACCAGTCCCTTAACCTAACCCAAGGCCCTCCTTGCTCCACTTCATCTTCTCTTACCTTCTTTAAAAATGCTTTTTTCTTCCCTTATGTTTTATCCACCCCTATTCCCATTCCTCCCACCCTCCTCCCTACCCACCTCCATTCCCTGCTTACTGTTCTTCTCTAACCCAGAGCTAAGCAGTCTGCTCAGACCAGGCAAACAGATAAGGTCATTCTCATCTTCTCCAGCCCCAACATTTGCCTCATCGAGGGAACCACAATTCCTGGCTTACTTGGCCAGATCTCACTCTGCTTCAATATACCCACTCCACCTCTCTGATGTAAGTTAGCAGATTTATATGCTTACAGACCGAAAAAGGTCTCCTACTTTGTACCAGATTAAGGTCTACCCCAAAGTGAGACCACCCATTTGCTGTGGACACTCACTGTTTATAAATCTTCCTTTCCCCAAACCATGGGGATGGGTAGATGGGCAAAGGCCCTGCCCCCAAAGTGCCCCCAACCCAGAACTACATGGAGGCATTCTCCCCTGAGAGGACCCCCTCTTCTCCCCCCCCCCAAGATTACCTCTTTGCTCAGTCCTGTGGGCTGCTTCCTCACACTCTTGTAGCCTCTGGAAGGAATGAGGGTGAGAAAATCAAGAAAAAGAATCGTGGAATTCGAGTGTTGCAAGGACTTTGGCAGCCATCTAATCCAGCCCCTGGACTACATACTCAGTAAGTGGTCCTTCAGCCTCTCTATGCGGGCATAGCCACCCCCCCCCCCCCGGCAGCTCAGGCTTCTTCTGGGGAGCTCTCATTCTTAGCAAGTCTCTCCTGACATCAAGCCTAAATCTGCCTTTTCTTTCAGCTTGCACATACTGGCCCAAGAAGGCAGAACTAGGAGGCCCCAAACAAGTCTAATCTCTCTTCCATATGGCAGGCCTTCAAAAGACTTGAAGACATCGGCCACCTTCCTTCCAGCTGTTCTCTTTTCCAGGCTACTCATGCCTTCCTTCCAGTTCTCCTCACATGGCAGGGAGTCTAGACACTTCACAATCCCAGGTGCCCTCTTCTGGACACTTTCTAGCTTTTTAATGTCCATCCTAAGTTGTGGTGCCCAACATCCAGTGACAGTCTGGCCAGTGCAGAGGCCAGCGGGCCTACCACCTTCCTATTCCCAGGAGCTCTGCCTCTCTTAACAGAGTCCAGGATCGTCACACTAGTGTTCTGGGCTGTCATATCACACTACTGACATAATAATGGAGCTTGAAGTCCAATGAGCCCCCAAAGCTTTTTCAGATAAGCTTCTAACCATGTCTCCCTCATCCTGTACTTCAGATCAAAAAAATGACTTCTCAGCTATAAGATGAAATATTTATGCTAACCGAATTTCGTCTTATTCAATTCAGTCCACTGCGCTAGCCTGTTGAGGTCTTTTTGGATCCTAGGTGTCATTCAGAGGAACCTTCTCGGTTTTGTGCCATCTGCAAGCCTGGCACGCATGCCCTCCGTGTCTTTATGCGAGTCGCAGGCACAAATGTGAAACAGAATGAGGCCCAACCCGACTGCCTAGGGCCCTCCACTGCAAAGCTCCTGCCACAGTCCCATAAAGCCATTAAGGGCTGTCTCTAGGCACTCAACTAACTCGGAACCTATCTAATTTTATTACTGTCTAGCCCAGACCCCATTTTCCTCACAATCATAGTATGAAATCCTCTATCAAGTGCTTTAGTAATAAGTAAATGATATGTAAGTGACTTGCTACCTAGACCACTCCCCTAACCAGTTTAAAAAGAAAATAAGGTTACTCTGGCATAATCTGTTTTTGATGATACTGTGGTTTTCTCTTCTATATGGTCACTAACCATCTCTTTAAAGATAAGTTCTAGGGTCTGCCCAGGAACCAAAGTTAAGCTCAGTGGCTTATGCTCTGCACACTAGCCTCTTCACTTTCTGGAGGAGCACAACACCTGCCCTGCTCTAGTCCTCCGGTGCCTATTCTGCTCCCTACACTCTTTCACACATCACTGGTGGTGGCACAGCAACCCCATCTACCAATTCTTTCAACACCTCAGGATATACCTCACCTGGACCAGGTAACCTGAATTTATCAAGGACAGCTAAGGCCTTTTGTACCGGCTCCTTATTTATATCAAGAATCAAATTCCTACTGTTCTGTCCTTTCCAGCCCAAGAGGTATCCAAGCACTTGGCAGAGAAAAAAATCAATAAAATAAAAATGGAGAGGCTCTTGCCTTCTGTGGCTTGTTATCATCTTTCCATTCTCTCCACCCGTGATGCTGCTCTTTCTTTGACCCTCCTCTTTCCCCCAACACAACTTGAAAATAGCCCAACTCTGGATTAAACACGCTTGCTAATGCTGACAGAGCCACAGAACGACGGAACTAGAAGGGATGCGACATGAATAATGTCAGAACTGAAAGGGACCTTACAACATAAGTGTCAGAAATGGCAGCGAGAAGGCACTTCCAAATGCAGAATTCAAGTCTCCTGATTTCCAAGGCAAAGATCTTTCTGCTATAGTGAGCTCTCTCTTTTCTCTCCCTGGTTGGGTTCAGGGTAGGAAAAACTCCTCTTCAGACTAGTTTGCGAGTAGCTACCACTCTACACACACCAACGCACATCCCCCGGATGCACAACACCCACCAATCTCTGGGGCCCAGAACTCACAAAGCAGCCAGGAGGGCCTCTTGCTCAGCCTGGCGCACAGCAGCTAGTTCCTCTTCTCGGCTCAGGGCCACGTCGCCTTTCTTGCCTTTGGCATACCAGGTGAGGTCACGGCCCTTCTGCCACCTGCCCACAGGAGCCATCAGGGAGTTCCCTGGGAAGAGAGCAGCCCTATTTTGAGTTCACGGGGAAACTGCCAGCTCCCCCACTATGGAAGAGAACAGCTCTCACCAACTCCTGCTCCATTTCCCCCTCCCTCAGTGACTGACCCTTTTTCTCCCACAAGACCTCTTCTATTTCATTCAGCCACCCCCCCCCAAAAAAAAGGGCAACAGCATGAAGGGAGACAAACACAAAGAAGCCCAAGACCCAATCCTTGCTCTGGAAGACCTCAGACTAGCTGGGGGGGGGGGGGACAAGAAACACACCCCTGAGAAATTAACTGAAAAGTCAAGGGTTGTGATCAATGCCAAATGAGTGATAAGGTGAACAACGATGACTACAGGCAGAAGTGATCTGTGGAAATGTCCAGAAGACATGAAGCTTCACTGGCCATCAGACGAAAGAACACTGGCTTTGAGCCAGACCGTCTCTGGGTTGTAGATTCAGCTCTGCCCCTTGTTGGGTCTGTAACCTGGGGGCAAATTACTGCCTCTCTTTTGGCCTACTTCCTAATCTGCAAAAGAAAACCAGACTGGCTTTCTAAGGCCCCATCCAGCTCTAAGGCTGAAGAATATCTCTGTTCTATTAAGAGTGCTTTAAACTCCTGTGTGTCTGGCAAAGCTACAGGGCACTCAGCGAGAGGCGGCCACATGCCACAGCCCTGGAAGAGGCACTTGGTGATCATGCCTGTAGTCCATCCTCCCTCAAGCGTGCGCACACGCGGCAGGCAGGGAGGAGGGCGGCAGCTGTCGCCAGGGTCTCTGAGGAGGGCACCAGCATTTCTTGCCCTGAAGCTGCCTGTGGCCGGCACAGAAAAGCTGGGAGGACGGCTCTGGCCAGGGTCACTTCCCCATAAGTTGTACACTGTGGCTCCTGAAGTGAAAGCATTGGGAGGGGAGTGTGAAAACAAGAGCCTGGGAAGAATAAGCAAAGTGCAACAGCAGCGCAGTATAGTAAGCGGTCTGGGGCTCCTGGGGATCACTGTCTTCAGCAGAGGCAACGTGGTATCCTGGAAAAATCACTAGTTTGGGAGTCGGAAGTTTGAATTTGGGGTTTGAGTCCTGTCACCAAAAGCAAATCACTTCACCTTTCTCAGCTTCAGTTTTTTCATCTGTAAAATGAGGATAATAATACCCACTTTACTTTATAGGATTACAAAAATGCTCTATTTAAGGCTAGAGGAATGTAAGTAATTATTATTATTCACCAGAAGAACCAGGCTTGCATCACAGCCCTGCCACTTACACCAATGTCTTCCCCTCACTGAGGATCAGTTTCTTCTTTCATAAAATGGGGGGGATCCAACCAGACAATTCCCCAAGGTCCCTCCAATTTTGGACCAAGCATGTGATTTCACCAGTGAGGGAACGGCCAGTGAGGAAATACTGGCTGCCAGTGAAGATTCTCTGCTGCTCCACAACTTCATTTTGGGAAGCTCCCTGGAGCACAGAGTGACTAGTGACTGGTCCACGGTCAGAGAGTCAGCTGGTCAACAAGGATTTATCAAATATCAGCTAAGCGCTGGCTGCTGCACCAAGTGCTGCACACACAAAGAGAGACAAAAACCAGCTCCTGCTCTCCAGGAACTCGGCGTCTAATGGGAGAGACCACGAGCAAACAAAATGTGTGTGAGATAAAGCCCAGGGAGCCTCAGAGGAAGGCTCTGGGATTGAGGGGGGGATGGCCAGGAGGAAGACATGTGGAAGGAGAGCCTTCTGGGCAGGAGGGCCAACCAGTGCAAACACCTGGAGGCAGGAGACAGACAGCAGTGTTCAAGGGCAGGGGCACTGGATCACAGAGGAGCTGGAGGGGAGCAAAGTGAAAGAGGACTGGAAAGGTACCAAAGAGAGGACTTTACATTTGATGTTGTAGGTGACAGGAAGACCCTGGGGCTTACTGAAGGCTGGGGGGAGAAGATACGACAAGGCCAGGCCTGAGTTTTTGGAAAACCACTCTGGCAGCTGAAAGGAGGATGGATCAGAGTGGCAGGAGACTCTAGGCAGGCAGACCCACAGCAGCTAGCGCATTACAAGAGTCCAGGGCATTGAATGAGGAGGGCCTGCACTAGGGTAGTGGCAATGTCAGCAGAGAAGGGGGCACATTAAAGAGATGTTACAAAGGTAAAAGTGACAAGACTTGACCACTGATTGGATTTAGGGGGTGAGGGAGAGTTAGATGATGAAGAATTAAGGATGACCCAGGCTGCCAACCTAGGTGACTGGATGGGGGTGCCCTTGACAGTCAGGAAGAGGGGAGGTTTGTGGGGAAAAGATAATGAGTTCAGTAATGGACATGTTGGGTTCAGGATGTCTATGGGACAACCAGTTTGCAATGTCTAAAAGCTAGTTGGAAAGGTGGGACTGGAACTCTGAAGAGAGGTGAGGGCTGGACAAGTATACCTGAGCATGATCCGCTACAGCTGACAAGTGAATCCATGGGAGCTGATGAGATCACCAAGGGAAACAGCAGAGAGAGAAGAGAGAAGGCCCAGGCCTGAGGCTTTGGGGCCTCTTACTGTGTGTCAGAAGCAGGCCATGAATCCAAGCCTTCCTGACTCAGAGGCCTGTCAAGGGATACAATCTGGGCCCACTCCTCTGCCAATGGGTGTTTTCACTAGCACTGTTGCGATGCCCCTAAATCCTGACCAGACCTCGCTGTGCCAGAGGCTGCATCTCCAGATCAGATTAGTCAGAGCTAAGTATCTCACGGCATCACCCAACACCTGGCCCCTGCTGCCTCTCTGCTACACCCCAAAAGGAGCGTTGAGAGTTAGTACTGCACATAGACAGGAGCTCCCCGAGAGCAGGTTCAGGTCCAGATTTCTCTCCCCGAGTCATGATGCCTTCCTGGAGGCCGAGCAAAGAGGAGATAGTAATTAAAACATGCTGGAAGAGTCACGGTCACTCCAGCCCAGGGACCTGTCTCCAATGGAACAGTGCCTGGGGGAAGCTAAGCCTGTTCCCCTTCACAGGTGCTGGACCCCCTCCCCCCGGCCCCCCAGCCCATGGCCCTCATTTCAGGTATTTCTCTAAAGCTAAGTTCTCTTCTCAGCCCAGGTTCCCCCTTAGGCCACAGAACTGTTCAGGTGCTCCAGAGATGAGAGCAGGGCAATGGTCCCCAGGTCTCTCCTTCAAGAAAAGCCCAAGGTCCTGAAACTAGAGTTTAGGAAATCATCTCAAGTCCCCTTTAAGAACTTCTAGATTTCCTTTTGTGCTATGCACTGAGGAAGCCTCTTCTCAGCAGCCTGGACATCACTCCCCTTCTTGGAATTAAAAAAATGTGTGAGCTCTCTCTTTGGGAATAGCTGTTAAAGAGCTTATGAAGATGATTTTGAAAAAGGACATGCTTTGCAGAACACGGCACTAACTCATGTCATCTGGTGATACTGTCACATGAGTTTGATCATCCCCAAGATATGAAGAAATTGAGGCACGGAGACAAATGAAGTGACTTTTCCAAGTAGAAAGGGGAAAGGTTACAAGGAGCTTTAAGTGCCAAACAAGGTCCTCAATTTGATCCTGGAAGTAATGGAATCACTGGAGCTCACTGAGCAGCAGGGGTGATAGAGGCAGTCATGTACTTCCAGAAGATCCCTTTGGCAACTGAGTGGAGGATGGACCGGCGAGGGGATGGAATGGAGGCAGGGAGAAGGACTGGTTGGCTCCTGCAGTTGTATACAGCAGGCAAGCCATCCCAAATGAAGTAGCAAAACACCCTGGGGGAAAAACAGGAGGCTGCACAGGCCAGGCAAGTCAAACCACTTCCACCTTGACCTCCATCACCCCTCAGTCCCTGATCAGAGGCCGTGCCAGACCCCTGGGAGGAGCCGCACTTTTAGAAGAGGGCCCACAGCCATCATCTGGGAAAGCGGCCCCTGTGGAGAGGAGCCTGCTCCCGCAGGTGCTACAGACCCAGAAAAGAAAGTTCTCGTCACCAAAGTCTGGCACTGTCAAAGGGTTCAACATCAGAAAGTGATGTCATTTATCAATGGAGAGGACACTGAAGATCATTACCACTGGCTCTGCCCCTGCCCTCTAAGGATCACGGGACCCCTCCATTTACTGGCAGCTGAAACCTTCCACATGTTGTCTCTCCCATTAGAATGGGAATTCCCCAAGAGCAAGACTGTCTTACTTTTCTACTTGTATCTCCAGCTCTTAGCACAGGGCTTTGTGTACCTTTGTTGTTGAGTCATTTCAGCTGGTTTTGAATCTTGGTGACCCCATTTGGGGTTTTCTTGGCAAAGATACTGGAGGGGTTTGGCATTTCCTTCTCCAGCTCATTTTACACATGAGGAAACTGAGGCAAACAGGGTGAAGTGACTTGCCTAGGGTCACACAGCTAGGAAGTGTGTGAGGCCAGATTTGAACTCACGAAGATGAGTCTTCCTGACTCTAGGCCCAGTGCTCTATCCACTGTGCCACCTAGCTGCCCCTGCTTGGCATACAGTAAGAGCTTAATAAATGCTTTATTCATTCAAACGAATCATAAAATAAAGTGACTTTTCTGGGCTCATATGGCCAGAAACTGGGACCCTGAGTCCCAATAACCCAGGAACAGCAGGGTCCTCCAGACCACTGACCCTGCTTCAGCCCCTGCAAGCATCATCCTTTGGGAAGAGTACACTGTCTCCAACACCCCCAACACCACCAGCCCCACCTGCCACTGGTAAATCTGAGTGCTCCTGGTACTAGTACCTCCCAGACCACCTCCTTCCGGCCCTCAGCCCCCAGCCGTAGGTCAAGGAAGCTATCCTTCCTATGTGGAGATGCAACCTGGCAACCTCTTCTATATATGCTGCCGGCCCTGTCTGCTCAAGGAGACCTACTAGTGAGGACCAAGCAAAATTCTCACCACCAAATTTTTTGGCATAGTCAAATGGTTCAACGTCAGAAACCAGTAGAGTTTTCAGTATGAGAAATAATACTAAAGAAGATGCATTACCATCTCCACAGGAACATGCAGACTGAAACCTATCTGCACATGTTGTCTTTCCCTACTATAATACGAGTTGCTTGTGAGCAGAGCCCAGCTCTGATTTTCTTACACGAATCTCCAGCTTTGCACACTGTAAGCACTTAATTGATGCTTTTTTCACTCATTCATAAATATACCGTAAGCTGCAAAAGCATTTGTTTTTCATCTCTTTCACATCCAACACCATTTTGTATACATTCCCTTGCCCCCACCGCCACCAGGAGGTTTCCCAAGGAGCAGTGGTCAGCTTTGCTTCTTCTGAAGTCCCTGCTACACTCAGCCCATTGACAGTGCTCAATGTTTTTGACCACTTGACTTACCCAGGTAGTTCTCCCTCTGTTTATCTGTCTTCACATCTTCCCAGTTGAATTGGTCTTGTCCACCTCGAACACCCCCACGTGAAGAGCCAAACATCTTAAGGAACAGACTGTAAAGTCAGTCACCCAAGTACCCCTGGGAAGAGAGAGCCAGAAAATTCCCAGACTCAATTCTGTTCCTTGTATATACAGTATAAGCCTATCTGGTTCTTTTCTCCCACTGAAAATCCCTAAGGGGAGGGAATCAATCTATTCTTTATGGTCTTCCCAGCAGGCCAGAAGAGAGTTCTGCACACAGGAGATACTTAATCTTGGGAGTCAAAGAAGCCAAGGGACTGTAGTCTATCATTTGTATTCTATGGACCTCAGTTTTCCTAACTGTGAGATGGGAAGGATCACAGAATCTCAGAGTTGGAAGAGACATCAGAGGTCATCTAGTCTAACCTATATCCAGAAAGAAGCCCTCATACAAAATACTCAACAAGAGGTTATCCAGCTTCTGCATAAAGACCTCTCCTAATAGTTCCATCTACTATTAGATACCTCATTGTCAGCGTTTCCCTAAATCAAGCTCAAATTTGCCTGTCTGCCTTCCTGGCCAGCGCTCCTGGTTCTGCCTCTAGGCCCTCTAGAACGAGGCTAGTGTCTTTTCCATATGATGGTCTGCTCTTCTTCAGTCTCAATGTCCCTGGTTCCTTCAGCTGACCTTCCTATGCCACGCACTGAAGGCCTTTTACTATCCTGGCTGCCCTCTCTTAGCTTTGTAAATGTGGTGCTCAGAATGGACCTGGGAAGGGGGCCAGCCTTAATGTGTGCGATCTGCCCATAGCACAGTACGGCACAAGAATCACTTCTTTCTTCAAGGAAGCTACACCTCTCTCTATGCACCTGAAAATCACCTTCGCTTTTTTAGGCTACCTTGTCACCCTGTGGACTCCTGCTGAACTTTCAGTCTACCAAAATCTCTGGATCTTTTTTCAGACAAACTGCCATTTAACCATATGTCCCACACCTTATACTTGTGATTTCTGAACTTGAGGGTAAGACACTACCCATTATCCTTACTAAATTTCATCTTATCAGAATTAGCCTAGTGTTCTCACTGGTCAAGATATTTATTTCTGGATCCCATCATGCAACTTCTAAACTCCTAGTTTTATATAATCTGCACATCTGATAAGCACGCCCTCTATATTTTTATCCAAATAAACCATCTCCTTCCTCCCAGGCAGCAGATTCATCAGTCAAGAATCATCATCATCATCATCTCCCATTTCTACAGTGCTTTACCAACAAGAGCCCCATGAGTTAGGTACTGTGAGGATTATTAGCCTAATTTTACAGGAAGAAACTGAGGCTCAGAGAGGGTTAGATAACATTAGAATGCAATTTCTTTGCCATTAGGGATTGTTTCATTCTTTGCACTTGCAACCCCAGAGCATGGCACAAATAAGTGTTTAATTGCTCCTGCTGATTGACTGACCTGTCCAAGGCTCTGCACCTAGGAATTATCAGTCAGAATGCAAACCCAAGCCTAGCTCCAGTATCTCTCAAGCTGCTATTCTTCCCACTATACCATACTGCTTTCAGTTCATTATATCTTCTCACGAAGAGAAAACAAAAAGACAGTTTTCCATATCTTTCTCCTAACATCAACTCTTTCTTCTCTAGGAGAAATGACCCACATAGAGGTTACGGACGAAATTCAGGGCCCATCATTCTGTAGATGGCCAGCTCCCTAGCTCTACCACTCCCCTCCTTCTGTTAGGGAAGAGGAGGGAGAGATGACTAGAGGCACTGCTGGATTTCTGTTCAGCCTTCCCATCAGTGAAGAGCTCTGAACCTCTAAAAGACTGAACATGCAAGCCAGTGTTGGAGGAAAGAACAACCAGGGTGTGGGAAAGCAGCCCGACAACTGAAAGAGTCCGAGATTGTACAGCAGTGGATCTGTCTCTGGTCCTGACTCTTCCATTGACTCACTGTCACCTTGGCCAATTACCTTTCCCTCTCTGGACCACTATCACTTGTAAAATGGGGGGGATGAGTGAGATGATGTCAAAAATCCCCTCCAGCTCTAACATTCTATAATTCTACATTCTGAGATCCATTCTAATGTTCCATGACATTAGACCTCTGCCTCAGAAGAGTTCCTTGTCCAATAAAGGAAACAAAGTCTTTGCTGACATGAAGCACCCTCTCTAAAGACTGAGACACTATCCCAAATGGACCAGTTCTCCAAGGTCCTCCTCTGATCTGAAATGCTAAGTCATAGTCTAGATAGCATTGGAGACAGACATCAGAACTGAAAGGGACCTAAGAAATCACCTGGTCCAATACTTATTTCACAGATGAAGAAACCCAGGTTAAGGTAGAAGTCACTTATAGGATCATAGATTTAGAGCTGGAAATGGTCTTAGGCATCAAATTTAATCATCTTCATCTCTACAGAGATGAGGAAACTGAAGTCTAGAGAGATAATGACTTGCACAAGTCAAACGTGGAAGAGCTGGAATTGAAACCCAAGTTCTCTGACTCAAAATCTGTTGCTTTTTCTACTGTATGGCATTGCCTCACTGACTTGTCCAAGGTCACATAGAATCTATGAGCTAGAGGCAGCTAGGTGGCGCAGTGGATAGAGCATCGGCCCTGAAATCAGGAGGACCTGAATTCAAATCCAGTCTCAGACCAAACATTTGACACTTACTAGCTCTGTGACCTTGGGCAAGTCACTTAACCCCAAATGCCTTAAAAAAAAAAAAAGAATCTATGAGCTAGTGTGAAGTAATGGAAAGAAGGCTGGATTGGGAGTAGGGTGGCCTGGATTTGAATTCAAGCTCTGCAAATGACCCTAGACAAATCTCTTCAAAATTTCAAAGTTGTTTTTCTCCAAAAACAAAACCAAAAAATCATATAAACCCTTTTACTACCTACTTCACGAAGTGACCGAGGAAAGCATTTTCCAAGCCTCAACAATAACTCACACCCATAAAACCCTGCAAAGCACATGGCATACATCATGTCATTTGAGATTCACAACCCTGTGGAGTAGTTAGGGCAGGCAGCCTGTCACAGAGGAGAGAGGGGTACTGGGGTGGTCAGGAAGGTCTCAGTTCCAATCCTGCCGCAGCATTTACCAGCTGTGTGACTCTGGGGAGGTCACTTAAACTCTCCAAGCCTCAGTTTTCTCATCTGTAAAGCTAGGATAACATTATAATAACAATACTGGATTGCGTTACGGTGAGGAACAAACGAGGCGATGTAAACCTGGAGGTCGGCAAACTTTAAAGCGTTATATCTTTTACTAAACAGACTCTAACTACCCCCCACCCAACCAGTCTAGGACCTAGGTAGCACATCAGCACCCCTCCTTTCACACCTCGGACCGCCCCCCACCTTCTCTGTTCTCTCTCTTCATCCCTCCCCCCACCCGCGCCGGGCCTCGCACGCTGCTGCAAATCCCGCCCCCCTCACTCCCCTCCTATTAGGCCCTAGGAGCCCTCCCTCAAGCCCCGCCCCAGACTCCCCTCCTATCAAGTCCTAGATACGCCCCCTCAAGCCCCACCCATCTCCTATCAGAGCCCAGGCACGCTCCCTTAAGTCCCGCCCTCACACTCCTCTCCTATCACGCTCCAGGGACACTCCCTCAAGTCCCGCCCCCAGCCCCCTCTCCTATCAGGCTCCAGGCACGCTACCTCAAACTCCACCCCTCTCCTATCAGGCTCTAGACGTGCTCCTGCAAGCCCCGCCCCCACCCCTCCTATCAGGCTTCAAACGCGCTCCTTCAAGTCCCGCCCCCATCCCCTCTCCTATCAGGCTCCAGGCATGCTCCCTCAAGTCCCGCCCCCATTCCCTCTCCTATCAGGCTCCAGGCACGCTCCCTCAAACCTCACCCCTTTCCTATCAGGCTCTAGACGCGCTTTTGCAAGCCCGGCTCCCGCTTCTCAGGCTCCAGGCGCGCTCCCACAAGCCCCGCCCCCAGACTACACTCCTATCAGGCCCCAGGCGCGCTCCCGCAAGCCCCACCCTTTCCCCAACCCCCCTCCCCTAGGGCCCCCAGGCACGCTCCCGCAGGCTCCGCCCCTAACCCCTCTCAGGCCACGGCGACACCCCCACCCACCTCGTGTTCCCCCTCCAGCTCTTCTGGACCAGAGACCCCCGCGTGGCTCGTGGCACGGCCGGCTCCGGCCCCCTCTTGGACCACAGGCTCCTCGACCCAGGCCCAGCGTGCCTTACCAACTCCCGCACCTTTCCGGGAGGCTCATCCGCCGCCGCACAATTAGTCGCGGGTCAGACCGCAGCGGAGCGAGAGCAGGGGGCCAGGGCCGAGCGAAGGAGTAGGACGCAGCCACCGTTACAGCCCCAGCCGGAGTGGGCGGAGCCACGGCCGGAAGGCCCGCCTCCCCCCTCCCCTCCCTCCTCTTTCCTCTCTTCTCTTTCCCGCTTGCGGGGGTAGGGGGCCGAGTTTGCGAGGTCCTGCGGTTCCGTCGGTCGCCGCTGGGAGGCGCTGCGGGGCCAGTCGTGGGGCGCGCAGCCTATAGAGGGCGCTTTCACGCCTCTCCACGGATCCATCCTCACAGTCTTGGCTCACATGCCATGTTCTTGGGCAGTCCAAGCCAGCCTGCCTCCTTACCATTTTACAGATGGGGAAACTGAGGCCGAGGCCTTTGCTGACCGCCACACACCGACATTTAGAAGCCAGAGTTAGCCGACTCCCAGATCTTTTTCAGTGAAAATTAAACATTTATTAAACGCCTACTGGTCCCTAGGGGCTGGAGATGGCTCTCTAGTCATTCTCTACCTAGGAGCTCTCTCCTTGCTGCCTTAGAACATGCCCAGTTTTCCTCCAGCCTTAAAAACCCCTCCCATACTCTCAAGTTGTCATTCAGTGACAACTTTTTTTTCCCCAGCCAAACTCCTAGAAAAAGGCTGTTTATACATTTTTTTAAACTCTTTTTGCACTCTGGCTTCTGACTTCATCACTCCTCTTGAATCTCTCAATTCAAATGATCTCCCTCATTGCTATATCCAGTGGCCTTTTCTCAGTCCTCGTCCTTAATCTGTTGACCTCTGTATCTCCTCTTGGATTCTTTCTCCTCTTTCTGTGCTTGTGAAACTGAGTTTTCTTGATCCTTTCCCACGGCTCCTCAGTCTTCTTTGCAGGGTCATCATTATCATCTATGTCCTGCTCCGTAACTATGAGTGCACTGCCCTGGACCCTCTTCTCCCTCTGTATCCCCTTTGGTGATGTGGACAGCTTCCCAGGGTTCAATCAGATCCAGAGGTCTGGCCCTAGACCCTGTCCTGAGCTGCAGCCTTGAGATTACATTACCTCTTAGATGTTTCAGACTGGGTGTCCCAGACAGGGCAAACACAGCATAGCCAACACAGAACCCACCCTTGTATTCAGCTTCCTTATTTACAGTGAGAATGCCGCTGTCTTTCCAGTAACCCAGGTTTACAACATGAAAGACATCTTCAGTTCCTCACTGTTCCTCAGGCAATACCGTGTTATGTACTGGGGGTACACGCTGAAGGAGCAGAGTCTAGCCAGAGAAGACGTGTTCGTATGTATGTTTTTACAAAACAGATGAAGATGATTTTGAAGAGAAGGCACTAGCGGTATTGGGAAAGGCGTCAGGTAGAAGATGACTCTTGAGCTAACCCTTGAAGGATACTAGGGGATTCTAAAAGGTGAGTGCATTCCAGGAATGGGGCACAGCCAGTGCAAAGACTTGGACATGGGAGATGGAGGAAGAAGATCGATTTGGCTGAAAAGGTAGGTTGGGGCCTGGTCGTGAAGGCCTTTACAATGTCAGACAGAGGAATTCATATTTGATCCCAGAGGCAGTAGGAAACTACTGGAGGTTAACGAGTTACACAGTCACACCTATGCTTTAGGAAGATCATTTTAGCAGCTGTGAGGAGGACAGATTGAAGTGCATAGCATGGATAGGGAACCTGTGGCCTTGAGGCCACATGTGGCCTTCTAGTCCTCCAGTGGGCCTTTGACTGAATCCAAACTTCACAGAACAAATCCTCTTAATGAAAGGATTTATTCTGTAAAACCTGGACTCAGTCGAAAGGTCACATGTGGGCCTGAGGCCACAGGTTCCCCACCCCTGGGTAAAGGCTTGAGGCAAAGCTTGAGGCTATTGTGATAGTACAGACTAGAGATCACAAAGGGCCTGAACTAGGGTGATGGCTGTGTGAGCAGAGAGAAAGGGAGGCAAGGGAAGCTATGGTGGTAGATACAAGATCTGACAGCTGATTAGATATGTGGGGTGAGAGAGTCGAGTCAGGGATGATAATGAAGCTGCAAACCTGGTTGACTGGAAGAATGATGGTGCCCTATACAGAAACAGCAGGGGATGTAGAGGGGAAGATAGTGTGGTCTGTTTTGAACATTGCTAAGTGTGTGAATTCTAAAGGACATCCAATTTGAGGTGCCTAATAAGTAATTGGTGGTGCAGTTGAGAAAAGACCCAAGGGCTGGATAAATCAATCTGGGACTCACGTGCATAGATAGGGGCTAAGGATTGAGACTCTTGGGGCTAAGGATATCACAGAGAGAGAGAGCGTAAAGAGTGAAGACTCAGGACAGAACCCAGAGGTACACCTCTGTAGATGTGTGGGGCACAAAAGGAGTGGTCAGACAGGTAGAAGGAAAGCCAAGAGAGAATCATGAAAATTTAAGAGGGGAGAGCATATTTAGAAGGAAAGGGTGATAAATGCCAAAGAGAGGTAAAAAACTGCAACGTGAGGGGGGGAAAAAGCACTAGATTTGTCTATTAAAAGATCATCGGGGGGGCAACTGGGTGGCGCAGTGGACAGAGCACCAGCCCTGGATTCAGGAGGACCTGAGTTCAAATTCGGCCTCAGACACATAACATTTAGTAGCTGTGTGACCCTGGGCAAGTCAGTTAACCCCACTGCCTAGCCAAAAAAAAAAAAAAATCATCAGGAACTTTGGAAAGGGCAGTTTCCGTTCATATGCAAAGAAACTGGATGGACAAGATTAAGGGAATCCTCTCATCCATTATTCCCTTAAGTGTGGTCCTTTTGTCATGAAGTTAGAATCTCTTGAGTCCACAGGTTCTGGGGCCAGAGCTACCTGTTCACTGAGAGGAAAGCAGGACATTGACCTCAAGGGCTGTCCCCACAACATGTAGGATGTCTTAGAAAGAGGCCCCTAGGGAAGTGGCGGAGACAAAACTAAACTGGAAGAAATCTGAGCAAGAATTACACAGAGAGGTGTGGATGGGTTCCCAGCTGTACAGAGGGAAGCAATACATACAGCAATGAGCTTGTGGATCCAGTGAAGTATTTGTTGTCTTGTGTGCCTTACTTTACACCATTCTACCCTGGTATCACTGATTCCTGAACCTGCCCCCCCAGCATCTACCATAGCCGTAGATACTGTAGATACCATAGATACCACCACCTCAGGAGCGTACGATTTGGAGGCAGACCAGGTGAATTACGTGATCTCCAAAGTTGTCTCCATTTCTAAATCTAGGCTTCTAGGACTCCATGGTAGGACAAGGGTGCTTCACTTTTCAGGAAGAAAGGCAAAGGGCTCTGGGGGTGTTATGGCTATGAGCGCATGCATGCCACAATGGGACGGGTGAGTCTCAGAGTGCTCTGTATAGCCTTTCACACCCCTTCATAGTCAGTGAACTGTGGCCTCCGTGGGTGTTGCCAGGCCCACATCCTTCTTGTTTGCCTCTGTGCTGCTCCTCTCTGTATTCTCTTCCCTCTCTCTTTTAAAAAAATTGTTGACAATCTTAATTTTTTGAATGAATAAATGCTAAAGCATTTATGAAGTACTTGTTAAGTGCAAAGCACTGTTCTAAGGGCTAGATATAGAAATGCAAAAACAAGCTTAATTTCTTATGGGGGTGACAACACATAAGAGGGTGTGGCAGCTAAGGATGGAATTTTGATTTGGAAGGTCACAAAGATGATGAGTGGAGCTAGAGGGGAGTACATCGACACACTTTCCTGTGGTTCCAGGACTAGGAGAAGGGAATGAGGGAGGCAGGGTGGATTGCCAGGGTGTAAAGTGAAGCATGGAGGGATATAATGAGGCATTCACCAATCAGAACAATGGGGCCACAAGACAAGAGTTCTAGAGCTAAAAAGATTTAATCCCCAGAGTATGGTTTCTGGCTCAGAGTTTAGAAGCTGGCAGGGCTGATGGCAAGATGGCCAGGGTGTTTTCCTCAACTTTCCCCATTGACCGAATCCATTCCTGAAGTCAGTCAATAAACACTTATTAAGTACCTATTACTGCCAAGCATTGTGTTAAGCAGTGGGGATACGAAAGAGACAAAAGACAATCACAATCTTTGTCCTTGAGGAGTTGGAGGGGGTGGTAATAGGGGAAACAATAGGCAAACAAACTGAATTAACTCAGGGAAGGTACTAGTATTAAGAGGGGCTGGGGTAGGCCTCCAATAAAAAAAAAAAATGGGATTTAGTTGGAATTTAAAGCCAGGGAAGTAGGTAGGTGGAGTAGAGGAAGAGCATGGAAGACAGCCGGAGAGTTTCTGGAGCTGAGGGAGGGTCTTGACTGGAACAGCCAGGAGGGGCCAGTATCACAGGATCGAAGAGTACATGGTGGAGAGTAAGGTGTAAGAAAAATGGAAAGGTAGACGGGGACTAGGTTACAAAAGGCTTTTATGCCTTTCTTAGAGGTAACAGAAAGTCATTGGAGTTTATTGAGTAGGGGCGTGACATAGACCTGTACTTTAGGAAAATCACTTTGGCAGCTGAATGGAGAATTGAGGCAGGCCAGCAGTCAGCTATTACAGTTGTGATGGGGGTCTGTGATAGAAGGGTGGCAGTGTTAGAAGACAGAAGGAGGTGGTATTCAAGAAATGCTGCAAAGGTGAAATCCACAGGCGTTGGCAACAGATTGCATATGGACGATGAGAGATGCTGAAGAGTCCAGATGACTCTTAGGTTGGAAGCCTGAGGGACTGGGAGGGTGGTGGTGCCCTCTACTGTAATAGGGAAGGTGGAATGGGTGGGGAGGGAGGGTTTAGATATATTGAGTTTAAGATGTCTGCTGGACATCCAGTGTGAGTCTTCAGAAAGGTAGTTGTGTAATGCAGAACATTATTTTACCATTTAGGTAGTAGGACCCTTTAGGCCATGGAAAGCAGAAGTTGCTGCTTAATCTTGCCCTAGACCTCTTCCTCTTTCCTCCTAAATCTAAACAATAGTGAAATGTACTCCTGCATAGCTTAAGCACAGCCCATACCTCCAACGCAAATGGATAAGAAAACTTGCAATATAATGGCTCTAGACAATTATGTTTATACCAGAAGCCAGGACACCTGGTCTGGTTTGTGTGATCCCTGACCTGTAATGATGGGGTGCTCAGGTGCTTGTGCTTGTCCTTGTGCCCCCAAAATGCCTCCCTAGTCTCAGAAACACTGTCTCTGACAACCACTCCCCAGCCCAAGGACACTGTGCCTAACAGTATTCATGCATGGGCCTCAGCATGACCCTTATCTGGCTGCTCAGGCCCCAGCCCTCAGATCATATCTCTGGAAGCCTCCATTGTGAGAAAGTTTTTTCCTTTGTTGCAGAGCATTATCATGTCTGGACAGAGGGAGAGGGGTGTCCTTGACCAGCCCAAAAACTCTTCCTCTTGCCAGACTTCAAAGATCCATCCCCCTCCCTGTCCTGTATACTCCCTATATAAACCCTAGCTCGACCCCTGATGGGGGCTGCTTGATTTGGATGTGAATACCCCTGGCAGCCGCACGCTAATAAAATCCACAATTTAAATTAGTCTGGGTCTAACCCGCTAATTTCTCGGTATAACAGGTGGAGATGTGAGATTGGATAGGTCAGCAGAAAGACTGGGGCAGGAAAGGTGGATTTGAGAATCATCAGCACAGAGATGGTAATTAATTCCATGTGAGCTGAGAAGAGAAGAGGGCCTAGGGCAGAACCCTGTGGGATATCCAGTTAGTTAGAGGGCATCTAGAGGGGGATCCAGCAAAGGTGATGGAGGAGTGGTCATATAGGAAGGAGGAGAACTAGGAGAGAATATCAGAGAGGGGAGGGTGATCACCTGTCAAAGGCTGTTGAGAGGTGGAGGAGACTGAGGCTTGAGAAATTGGCAATTAAGAGATCATTAGTAACTTCGGAGAGAGGCCCAGTCAAGTGCATCACCTCAATGAAACCTTCCCACACCACCTCAGGCCACAGCCAGAGGCCTCCCTCAGTCCTGGTCTCCCTTCTATATTTCCATCATATTGCCTAAATCGTCCATTTGGCACTGGTCATGGGCTTCTTTTGTAGTCTTGCTTTTTATTACTTATTACTTTGCCTTTTGGTTTATGTATTATCTCAACTTCCTTGTTATCCACTGGCCCTTTAATGCCTTGAAATTTGGCCACTCGTCTCTTGCATGCCTCACCTTGATTCCTCCTACTCAGGTGCTGCCGAATAGAGCCCGAGGAAGTCACACGACTGTGTTTACTGGGTGTACTACAGATGTTTGCTGTCATTCACTCATGTTTCAGTCATGTCTGTCTCTGTGTGACCTTCTTTGGGGTTTTCTCAGCAAAGATACTGGAGTGGTTTGCCATTTCTTTCTCTAGCTCATTTTACAGATGAGCAAACAGCATTAAATGACTTGCTGGTCACACAGGTAGAAAGTATCCAGAGCCAGATTTGAACTCACGAAGATGAGTCTTCCTGACTGGATAGAGGCCGGTCACTCTATCCACTGCACCACCTAGCTGCCCATCAAATTTATGTTATCCAAACCCGACTAAGCCCTTACTATGGCAAAGCAATCCTTTTACTCCTCCCTAATTGACTTCCTATCCTACTGCCCATAGAAGATATCCCAAACATTACCTTCTCTCTCACCTATGGATTCTAACTTTTCTGAAAAAATTAAGATCATTTGCTCCTTTTTCTCCTTTTCTTATCTCAATACACCTGGGACACGATCCTGTATTCTCTCAGATTTTTCACCTTGTCTTTGACAAGGTGATCCTTCTCCTCAAAAAGGTCAATCTCTCTCCCTATGACCTTGATCCCCTCCCCTCCCACCTCTTCTAGCACATCGCAACCTCATTTTCCCCTTGTCTCTAATCTTCACTCTTTCCTTATCTACTCATTCCTTCCCTTATGCCTGTAAACACGGCTGTTACCCCAAATGTAAAAAACCTGTTAGCCCTTACCATCCCCCCCAAGCTATCCTTCTCCCAAGCCATCCCTTCTCCTTTTCTCAACCAAATTCCTAGAAAAAGTTGCCTATACTCATTGCCTACACGTTCCTCCTTTAACTCCCTCAACCCACATCTTGTAATCTGGCTTCTGATCTAATCACTCAACTGAAACTGTGCTCTCCAAATTCACCAGTGCTCTAACTGCCCAATATGGCAGCCTTTTTTCAGTAGTTATCCTTTGGGATCTCTCAGTAGCATTTGGCACTGTTCACCATACTTTCCTCTTACATAGTTTTTCCTCCTTTCTGGGTTGTCTTCCTCCCACTCTGATCACTCTCCCTCAATCTCTTTTGCTGGCTCATCATCCATGTTGGGTCTCTAACTAGGTCTATCCTAAGGCTTTGTCTTGGGCCCTTTTCTCCCTCTACACTCTTTCTTGATCTTATCTCCCATTATTTTCATTATAATCTCTATGCAGGTGATTCATACAACTCTATATATAGCCTTAGTCTCTTCCCAGAGCTCTACTCCTCCATCAGCAATTGCCTCCTATAAATTTAAAATTCTGTAGTTCTTCTCCCTTCTTTCTATCCCACTTAGCTTTATATTCTCTTGGACTGTGTGACCTCATCTTCACACTTCCATTTTCTATTCTGAGGCTGTTGCCGCTGCTCCATCCTCTTAGCCAGATCACCAGAAACCACCCTGGCAGGGGGCATGCTCTGCTCCTGCCTCCTCTTGCTCTGAGGACTGTAATCAAATCAACTTTACCATGGTCTCTGGAAAGGGCATGTCAACTGACTGCCTTCCTGTTCCATTCAATATTTTTACAATTTTGTAGAACCCAGCTCATACCTGGCCACTCCTCCCCTTTATGTCTTGTCTCCTATTGGAATGGAGATTCTTTTGGGGGGGGGGGGGCCAGTGAGGTTAAGTGACTTGCCCAGGGTCACACAGCTAGTAAGTGTTATGTGTCTGAGGCTGGATTTGAACTCAGGTGTTCCTGAATCCACTGCGCCACCTAGCTGCCCCTGGAGATTCTTTTTATGTACAGGTTAGACTAGACAGTCACTTTAGTCCCTTCCGACTCTCAAATTCTGGGATTCTGTGACTGTGAGCTTCTTGAAGGCAGTAACTGTCTTTTGTGTTTGTAATCCCAGCATTTAGCACAAGGCTCAGCATAGGAAGTGCTTAATTTATGGTTTTCATTCATTACTACCACTGTTATCATGAAAAAAAAGTACAAAACATTATTATGAAATACAGTAATAGCCTCCTATCAGCCCATGTTATCTTCTTATTCAGTCCACTTTGTACAATGATTTTTTGGACTGGACCTGTGATTTTACTAGCAAGGTAAGCATTTATGTGGCACTTACTATGTGCCACGGGCAGCTGGGTGGTGCAGTAGACAGAGTGTGGGGCAGGAAGGCTCATCTTCTTTGGTTCAAATCTGGGCTCAAGATACTTACTTGCTATGTGACCCTGGGCAAGTCACTTCACCCTGTCTGCCTCAGTTTCCTCATCTGTAAAATAAGCTGGAGAAGGAAATGGCAAACCACTTCAGTATCTCTGCCATGAAAACCCCAAATGGGATCATGAAGAGTCAGACACAACTGAAAATGACAACAACTACAAGTGTACTAATAAGCAAAAAGAAAAATAATCCCTGCCCTAATAAGGGAAGATAGTATATAAAACACAGCTGAAAAAGGAGTAGAGGAGGGGAGAAGATACCTCCTGGGTGGGGTGGCCTGTGGTGTCAAAGTCCAGAAAGTCAAGGGGCAGCTAGGTGGCGCAGTGGATAGAGCACCGGCCCTGGAGTCAGGAGGACCTGAGTTCAAATCCAACCTCAGACACTTAACACTTATTAGCTGTGTGACCTTGGGCAAGTCACTTAACCCCACTGCCTAGCCAGAAAAAAAAAGAAGTTCAAAAAGTCAAAAGCACAGCTGGGAAGAGAATGAAGTTTCGTAGTCTAGGGCATTCCCCCAAATGGAGGCCCCAGGAAGAATCCACGAATGGGATAAGAGGGCTGGCATGACTGAGGATGTTCCAGGGTGAGAATGAAGCTGAGGCATAGTGTGGAATTCTGGAAAATCAGCAGCACAGCCAGGAGGAGAAAGGAAACTCCCTCTACCAATACAGATCTACACCTTCTCTGGAATTTCTACAGAGAATTGCCTAGGAAACTGAGAGGTTGAATAACTAACCTAGGATCACACAGACAGTATATCCCGACGCCTAGGCTGGCACTTTATCTACTATTTCCTGCTTCCAGATTAATCTCCCTGATAAGAGGTCACTCTCCTATGAAAAATCTACAATGGCTCCACGTCCTCCACCAACTTCTACTTGGCCTCCACCTAGGCTCATGTTACCTTTTCAACTCTATCTCACTGGTCTTGACATTCCTCCAGTCCTACATCTTGAAATCTTCCCCTTCTCTCAAGGTATGGCTCAAATGACGTCTCTCTCTCTTAAAGTCTCCCCTGATCCCCTCTGTTAAAAACAACCTTCCCTTCCAACCTACCTTCCTAGCACTGAGCACATTCTACCTGCGTGGTGGCTATGTGTATATGTGAGAGTCAGAGATGAAAAGAGCCTCAGACACGTGGTGAGATCGGTTTGACTCACTCTGCCTCCCTGGGCACATATTCTCACTGGAGGAGTCTCACACCAAGAAAACAGGAACAAATGTACATATTTTATACTGTACATGTAAACTATTATTATTGTTTGTACATTTTATTTCTCCTTTGAAAGTGTAAACTCCTAAAAAGAAATCAGGTTTATCTTTGCCTCTGTAAATTCCTGGAGGGCAGGGGCCACATATTGTCTTCATTTCCCACTGCTATGCACACAGAAGTTGTCCCTCAGGTCAAGGCAAGGGTTTGAATCAGGGAGAAGCAGCAGAGGAAAAAATTCTAGGAAAACCATCCACATAAAAGATAAAATAAGTGCATCAGTGTAAGGTTTTGTAGTTTTTAATTTTTAAAAATAGTAATATATTTGGGTGCATTAAATGCACTCACCCTTTATACAATCTTAACATCGTAACATGTTCAGTTTTTCTTCCAAAATTTTGCGTATTGTTCTACACTGAAGTCATCTCCAAATTCTGCCTCTTCTTTTCCCACTTCAACATACTTGGGATTCCGTTTGCGTAGTCTAATCTTTCTTTCCTCTGGCGACAGTGTGTCAATATCTACTGGCATCTGAAAGACATGAGGAAAAGCAAATGATGTAATTATTCAGCATAAAATCCTGAAAACTCAGAATCATAATCCTGAGGCAGAAGAGACCTTGGAAGCCATCTGGTCCAATTTGCACTGAAGCATGAATCCCTTCCACGTCATCCCCAGCAAAGTGTCTTCTGGCCTACCCCTGACAATTTCATTCCTGAAGGGAAATGTAATTAAATCCTCTGCTTAGCAAATTCTTATCAAGGCTCTATAAACCCCAGTATATTTAGCCTTTCTTCACACAATTTCTTTCCCATTTAGTTATTTTTTTTACCTTCCTCTTGATCCTCTCTAAGTACAAGACATCAAAATACAGTACAGACAACAACTGAATTCTCAGGGTGGCAAAGCCTCCGTGATATTTGAAATTTCAAAAACCTCATTAATTAGGTACTAATTTATGAATCAAATAAAAGATCTTCCAGCAGCAACTAGTTCTACAGTGCAGGAATTAATCTATGTTAGCTCTTTAGCCTGAGCTCATAAGCTTGTCATTAGCAGCATTTATTAGTGGGAGTTTATAAAGGGAGGTCTTGGATGACCCTGTTTGAGAAGATCAGAACTGTCAGTCATTAACTGCACGTATCAAGCACGGCCATTAAAGAAGAAAAACATTTTGTTATGAAGCAGTATTGAGCCAAGGCTTCCTTCTACGAGGTCACTATAAAGAAACAGAACTGATTTTTTAAGACAACACCCACACTAGAATTTATACATCCAATGGAATATAATCTTATTCATTTAACAAACATTAAGGGCCCACGACGTGTGCAGTATTGTTCTGGGTTATGTGGAGGGATGCAAAAATTACCTGTGTGACCCTGAACAAATGACTTAGCCTCTCTAGGCTTCCTTTTCCTCCTCTATAAAATGAGGGGGTTGAACTAGATGACCTCTGAGGTCCTTTTTGGCTCTAATCTATGATCTACATCTATGATTAATACTTATAATAAGTCATGGTTTTTACCGTCATAGAATTTATAGTCTAGCAAGGGGTTTGACGCACATACACATGCGTGTAATACAAAATATTACCTAACAAATGCATAAGTGTTATGATTGACTGGGAAGAAGCAGACAGAGCTTAAGGAAGCTGCCTGTGAGATGACCTTTAAAGGGTGGCTAGGGATTTCCTGGGCATAAGGAAGAGGCATCCAGGCATAGGGAATAGTGGGAATAAAGTCACGGAGACAGGAAAGCGTGAGAAATGGAAAGAATATGGCAACTGAAGGGCATCGCCTTAGTTCCAGCCCTTTACCACTATAAAAAAAAAGCTGCTAGAAAGATTTTTGTCTATCAGGTCCTTTTCCTTTTTTTAAAAAAACAACTCTTGGAGGTATGGACCCAATTGTGGTATCGCTGAGTCCAAGGAGATGCATCTTTTCATGACTGCTTCCAGACTGCTTTCCAGACTGGCCATGCCAGCTCACAGCTGCGGCAATAGTGCATTCGGGTGCCAGGTTTTTGCCCTACAACATTTGTCATTTTCCATTTTTGTCAACTCTGCCCGTCTCCCGGGCGTGAAGTAGGACATCACAGTGTCTTCAGTTGGCATTTCTCCAGTTATTAGTGATTTGCAGCATGTTTTCATATGGCTGTTGAGAGCTTGGATTTCTTCCTTTGAAAACTGCCTGGTCACATCCTTTGATCATTTATTGGCAGGTAATGACTGAACAGATTACAGTGTGTGAATATAATGGAGTATTGTTGTATCATAAGAAATGATAAAATGCAGAGGTCAGTGAAACCTGGGAAGACCCATATGGGCTGAGGCAGACTGAGGCAAGCACAACAAATTATACAATAACAATACTATAAAAACAAGCAATTTTGGAGGGCTTCAGAGTTCTGATTCCACAGGACCAATGAGGAAGCATGGCAACAACCTCTTAACAGAGAAGTGATTCAGACATAGCTAATGCAAGAAAAAGGTTCTGCTGGGGCAGCTAGGTGGCGCAGTGGACAGAGCACCTGCTCTGGATTCAGGAGGACCTGAGTTCAAATCTGACCTCACACACATAATACTTACTAGCTGTGTGATCCTGGGCAAGTCACTTAACTCCAACTGCCTTAAAAAAAAAAGGTTTTGCTTGCCTATGCATATTTGTCATAAAGGTTTCATTTTCTCTTTCCCAATGGTGTGAGGGGAGGGGATAGAAGAAAAAACGGATTTTTGTTCACTTAAAATAAATTTAATTTTTAAAAGGAAATATAGATATAGATATCAACAAAAAGAAGAGGCCAGTAGTATAATCTGGCCAGACCATTGTGTATGGAGACATAAGCAGTGTGAGATAAAGAAGAAACGTCTGGTGCCACCAAACTGTGGAGGATCCTCAATGCAAGGGTGAATTTGAATTCTATTCAGTAAGCAACAGGGAATCACCGAAGGGTTCTGAACAAAGGAGATACACACACAGATCTATGTAAAGGAAAATTAATCTAGCAAAAGTGTTAAAGGCAGCCTGAAGCAGGGAAAGAATGCAGACAGGAAGGTCAGCTAGAGTTTACAATGGTGGCAGAGTCACAGACTGAGTTGGAAGGAACCTCAGAGGTCCTGTGTTCTGGTGGTGTTCCATTCAAACAGAATCAGAAGCCACTGAAGTGTTCATTAGGCTCCCTGCAGGCAGGCAGGCCTTAGAAAACTACAGATTAACATCATCTGTTTTACTGTATTTTTATCTGCTATTGCTGTTTAGTCATATCTGATTCTCTGTGACCCCATTGGGGGTTTTCTTGGCAGAGATACTGGAGTAGTTTGCCATTGCCTTCTCCAGCTCATTTTACAGATGAGGAAACTTGGGCGAACAGGCTGAAGTAACTTGTCCAAGATCACACAACTACTAAGTGTCTGGGGCCAGATTTGAACTCAGAAAGATAAGCCTTCCTGACTCCAGGTCCAGCACTCTAACCACTGCGCCATCTGGCTGCCATATATTTATTTATTTTATTAAATATTTTTCAATTACATTAAAAAATTTTTTTTAAAACAATTTATTTTTAGTTTCATAAGATTTTGAGACTTAAATTTTTCCCCCTCCCTAAGATAGCATGCAATCTGATATAAGTTCTACTTCTACAATCATATTAAGCATATTTTCACATTAGTCATGATGTAAAGAATTAGAACCAATGGGAGGAACCAGGAGAAAGAAGAATCAAAACAACAAAAGAAAAGGAGAGCAAATAGTATGCATTTAATCTAAATGCGTTCCATCTGCATTTAGATTCCATAGATGCTTCTCTGGATGTGGATGAGCGTTTTCCATCATGAGTCTTTTGGAGTTGTCTTTGATCCTTGCATTGCTGAGAAGAGCTAAGTCTATCAAAGTCAGTCACTGCGCAGTGTGGTTACTGTGTACAATGTTCTCCTGGTTCTGCTCACTTCTTTCAATTACACTTTAATCTGGCTGGGCCACACTCAGGAACGTTGTGGGGCGCATATTCCACACCTCAATCTGAACAAGAATGTTTCCAACAACACCCCCAACAAGTGGTCCATCGGCCTCTCTTTGAGGTCCTCTTCCTGAGGCCGTCCACTAAATTCTAGACGGCTCCAATTGTCAGGGAGCTTTTCCTTCCCATTCTACCTAATTCTGCCTCTTGTCCCACTGTTCTGGGGCCAAGCAGAATGAGTGTAACCACTTCTCTACACAACAGCCCTCTGATTCCTGCAGACAGCTATCACACTCCTCAGTCTTCTCTCTTCTAGGCTAGACACCTCTCATCTTTCACAGCTCCTCAGATAGTGCATCCTCCGTCCTCCCACAATCCTGGTCTCACCTTCTTCTGCAGTGCTCCTGCTTACCTCTGTCTTTCCAAAAATGTGGTGCCCACAACCAAGAACAGTGCTTCTCCTGTCATGTGACCAGGACAGACCTCAGCAGAACGATCAGCTCCCTCATGCTGGGTGCTCTGCCTCTCTCCGTGAACTCAGAATGGCATTAGCTTTATGGTTGCCATGTCACACTGAGGACTTCAATAAGCGAGCTTGCCATGCCCTAAAGCCCCAGGCCTCTCTCAAAAGAACTCCTGTCTTCTTCATTCTAAATTTGTGAATTTATTTTTGAGCCCGAACATTGAAGGTCATGCTTATCTCTGTTAAATTTCTTTTTTATTCCACATCAGGTCACAGATACAACCTGTAGAGCATGGTCTTTGTATCCCTAGCAGCAAGTATAGGGTCTGTCACAAAGCAGGCACTTAATAAACACTCAATAATTTACTGGTTAATTTTCAGATCCTGAGTGTCATCAAACCTATCAGCTATCCTTCCCAGCTTTGTGCAATGTTCTAATTTAACAAGCACATCATCTATGCCTTTGTCTAAGTCATTGATAAAAATGTGGATAAGCATAGGGCCCAGTATAAATCTCTAAGTTATCATCGAGATGCCCCTCTACCTCACATTTCACAGCCAAACGCCCAGAAAAAAGTCACCTACACCCCTCCTCTGCCATTTCCTTTAATCAACCTCTTGCAATATGGCTTGAGACCCCAGCACCTAACTGAAACTGTTCTCTCAGGGCTTCCAATGATCTTATTTGCAATATGCTTTGGTCTAGGCTCAAACCTTGTACTTGACTTCTCCATAGCATGGACCCTGGAGGTCCCTCCTTCCTGCTGGATACACTTGGCTCCCTCAGTTTTCAGGATTTCTCCTGGTTATTCTTCTGTCTGACTTCTTAGTCTCCACTGCTGGATCATCCATGTCCTAGCCCTACCTGTGGGGTTAGAAGTCCCGTAAAGTTCTCTTGTATAATTATCTCATTATTTCAGAGATTTCATCGATTATCATCTTTATGTAAATAACTCCTAGATCTGGATAAACATCGTTTCATATTGAACACTAATTCTATATCAATAACTGCCTATTAGACATCAGAACAGTACAGCAGAAAAATGACCCCTGTGGAGCCACAGAACCTGGGTTCAAATTTGCCTCTGATGCTTTCTGCCTAAATCATTTCATTTCCGTGGGCTTCTGTTTCCTCATCTGTAAAATGAGGGCACTGGGAGAGACGGCCTCTGAGGTCCCTCTCAGCATAGAGCTATGAACCTATGCTCTTTAACTGACTGCTCTGCATGCACCTCCAGCTCTACATACCCAAAATGGACTTGTAAATTTCCCCCATAAACCTGCTCCTTCTGTTTCCAGGGAGGGGACAGCCACCTCAGAGAATCTCGGTTCTTCATTCTCCCTCCCTTCCCATATTTGACCAGTTGCCAAGTCTTATCAACTTGACCTCTTCCACATCACCTCCACATGTATTCCTTTCTCTCTATTCATACAACTATCACTCTTGTTCAGAACCTTATATTTCTCACCAGGAAGGAAACAGCCACCTCCTGACTGGACCTGCAAATTCTAGTCTCTCCTCATTCTAATATATCCTCCATTTGACAGCCAAAATAATATTCCCAAAGCAGAAATCTGAGCAGGTCATTCCCCTGCCCGAGAACCTTTGTTGGCTTCCTGCTTCTTCCAGGATAAAATGCAACCTCCTTTGCTTAACATTTAAAACCCTGCATGATCTGGCTCCAGCCTGCCATTCCAGGGTATTGCGTCTAGCCCCCCTCATATACCCTTAGTTCCAGCCAGACTGGCCTCCTTGCCATTCTTCAACTGTAGCTCTCCATTCCTGGCCTCCATGTCTTTTCACAGACTGCTCCCATGCTCCTTTCTGCTCCGTACCTTCTGGAACCTCTGTCTTCTTTCAAGGCCCAGCTCATGCACCATTTCCTACAGGAAGCCTTTCTTCATTCTTTTGTTAGTACATTCTCTCTCCTTCTCTAATTATCATGGATATATTTATCTGTTTTCATGAGGTATCCCCCAAGTAAAATGTAAGCTCCTAAAGGGTAGGGACTGTCTTCTCTTCTGTCTTTGTACCCCAAATCACAGCACAGTATTTTACACATAGTAGGCTCTTAATAAAAACTTTCTGGATTAATAGAAAAACAATTTTTAAAACTGAGTTTGTGCTCAGCTTCTTACTGTAAGGATCCGCCGAGGCTCCTTATATCTGATATGAATGGTAGATCCATCTTGCTTGACCAACATCACTGGATACAGTCGAGCATAAGCCTTCCTATGCACTCGAGTGAGGGAAGCCCGGTTGGAGTTGAGCTGGATGGAGGACGTATGCAGGTGATGTGAAGTGGGAAAACTAATCTTCACTAAATTCTGTTGTAGGAAGCTACAAAGAAAAGGTTCAGATGAGTCAAGGACATTCTCAGTCATTCAATGAAACTACTGTCAAACATTTACATTATACATAAAAAAATGACAAAGCCACGCAGATCTGTCCACCCATGTTAATAAGGCAATGCTGTTTAATCCTCACCAATAGGCCAGGGCAGGGGTGGGGAACCTGTGGCCTTCTAGGTCCTTGGGTGTAGCTTTCTGACTAAGTCCAAGTTTTACAGAGCAAATCCTTTTATTAAGGGGATTTGTTCTGTGAAGTTTGGATTTAGTCAAGGGCTGCACTTGAGGACCTAAAGGCCATATGTGGCTTCGAGGCCACAGTTTCCCCACCCCTGGGCCAGCGGCTTGAAGTTACAAAAATATCTCCTCACTCCCTTTATAGTACTTTAAAGTTTACAAAGTATTTTCTTCCTTATAACAACCTTGTCAGGTGGCTGGCACAAGGATCATTATCCTCATCTTACAGATGAGAAAACATAGATTCAGAAAGATAAAGTGGTTTGTACAGGTCATACAGCAAGTCACTGCCAGAGCTAGGATTCTGATTCAGATCTGCCAATCTCATTTAAAAAGAGGTGGAAGGAGCCAAGATAATAGAGGGAGAAAAGCATTTTTCCGAGCTCTTCCAATACAATTCTCAAAATAACTTTAGAAAGCATCAGACTGAATTCTGAGTGGGATGACCAACAAAAAGTCACAGTGAGCTACTTTCCCAGTCCAGGGAAGCTTAGGACAGAAAGCGAGGTCTGTGAACACTGGGCTGGGGGCTAGGGGCATCCAGGGCTGGGGGTAAGGGGACTGAACAGCTGGTCAGAAAGAGATCCTGGGGGCATGCCAAAAATAGGCACAGGACTAGGCACCATTTGGCAGTCCCTCTGTCCCTTACCAGCCCCGGGTCACAGTCCCAGGGCCAAGGGGAATGCATGTTGTCATAAGGCAGCGGGCATCTACCCGGCTAAGGACCAGGGTGCAGGCCAGGAGGGTAGTGACCAGAACTAGCCATGAGAGCAGTGGGAGGACATAAAAGACTGGGGCTCAGCCCGGGTAAGCAGAGCCTAGCTCTGATGTAGACTCCAAAGTCAAGAAAAGAGGCTGCAAAAATGAGCAAACACAAAAAGAACCTGTCCATAAAAAGCTATTATGGTGATGTGGAAACTCAAGCTATAAACTTGGAAGACAGATCTTCTGACTCTGAGGAAAGTGCTTGTTCCATCTACGAGCAAGCTCCTGGCCCAGGGCTTATACTTATATTGGCATTCCCTACAACACATAATACATAACACAGAACTGAGCTCTTGTTGGGTGTTCATTAGAGTGCCGACTGACCAACAAACCATGTTATTGTGTGCTATTGTGTACTTAGGGGACAACAGTCTTTTTTTTTTGGTTATGCAATGGGGTTAAGTGACTTGCCCAGGGTCACACAGCTAGTAAGTGTTATGTGTCTGAGGCTGGATTTGAACTCAGGTCCTCCTGAATCCAGGGCTGGTGCTCTATCCACTGCGCCACCTAGCTGCCCCGGGTAGTATTCTTTTTAAACACTGGTTGTTAGCAAAATGTGATTCTGAAGACACTTAAAATCAGCGTAGTTAAGTTGCAGTAAACAGAACTAACCAACCCCATTGCTGGAAAATAAGAATGACTTTCAGTTATGAAAACTGATTAGTTTTTGACTCTTCCAGGGGTTACTTATGGGTAATAAGGATAAAAGTTTTTGTATATGGACAGACCAGACCTCAACAGAAGCTATTTTGGTAAAGGATAAAGTTAAGCTGCATTAATCCCCAGGGGCATTAATAAGATGGAGGGCAGGACTGAGCACACCTGAAATTACAGAGATTCTGAAGCAGTTAAAAAAATTTTCTTTTAAAGTCTTAGTGTTTACTCATTTTCTTGGTGTTGAATTATGCCTATACTTGCTTTACACTCAAGGGAAGGTGTAAGAATAGTGTTAATGCAAGGATTTAAAAAACTGACTGATTAAAGTGAAACCTCTTTCTTGGGCTTCCAAAGACCTCTCAACACATCTCATCTCCACCACCTGGCATTTTCAAAGGCTCTCCAAGTTACCCATGAGACAAGAAAAAGAAGAGTTTTAAAAATCTTTAAATGTTTCTGAAACTGCCATCTGATTCTGACAGATTCTTCAAGTTTTTTTTTTCTCCACTCAACTAATAAATATCTGAGTGCCTAGTATATGCAGGTACTGTGGGGGACATGAAAAATCAGTAAGGCGTAGTCTCTACCCTTGAAGATCTACATTTCTGGCAGAAGAGGTAAGATATAAATACACAAAAAACTTTAAAATATAAGTTAACAAGAAGCAAGAGATATAACTGGGGGGGGAAGGGCAAAAAGCTGCAGGAGATGAGGAAGCCTACAGGGAAGAGGTGGGGTCTTTGTATCACATTTAGGACTTAGACAAAGAAAATGGCATTTATACAGGGCAAACAACGTGAGCAAATGGATATGAAGCGCTCCTGAAGTAGTGAGTAAACTTGTACTGGAGGAATGGTATATTTATGGATGGAAGCAACACAGTAGGTATGGAAGAACACCAGACTTGGAGTCAGAAGCCCTGGACTGAAAACATGAAATTCTTCCATGTTTTAAGCTGTGTGACTATGGACTTTCCTCCTCTGAGATGAGGTTTCTTCACTTATAAAATAAGGATACTCACACCTTACTGGGTAATACAGGGAAAGTATTCCTCAAACTTTAAATGTGAGCTGCTATTGTTATCAAGTTGTTCTAACAGTGGATGATAAAGCTGGAAGGGTAAATACAGAAAATTTTCTGAATAATTAACAAAAACAGATAACTCTACAGGAAAAGGAAGTACTTGTCCATGGTTTAATACTCATATGATGGTAGAGCTTTGTGCTTACCAAATCACTCTTCTCACAGCTGCCATTCTTGTCCCTGGTATGGTTCAAGTAGCTCATGAGATGGAGGCCCTCTTCACACAGCTGTCAACTGAGCCTCATCACATCCAAAGCACCAAAATATTAACTGATGTATACTTCAAGTGCAATCTGCAGCCCAACAAAATGAGACATCTTTTCTAGCTGAGTCATTCTTTTAAAATTATCTCTATCTAAAAACCATAAAATGAAATACCTTCCACCTGCACGCCACCAACCTTTTCAGTCACATAGCTGTTAGGCAAGGGGTCAGACTCTCCCAGACTCATATGTTAGATAGTTTGGGAAACATTGATTAGAATGTCATTAAGGGGGGCAGCTAGATGACACAGTGGATAGAGCATCGGCCCTGAAGTCAGGAGAACCTGAGTTCAAATCCAGCTCAGACCAAACACTTGACACTTATTAGCTGTGTGACCCTGGGCAAGTCACTTAACCCCAATTGTCTAAAAGCAAAAAAAAAGAAAAAAAGAAAAAAAAGACTGTCATCAAGGTATCGCTAAAGTTTTCAGGGGGCTCAAAGGGCTGATGAACTGTACATTGCTTGGTCACTAGTAAATAAACTGACAAGTACTCAAGATTTCAGAGTTACAAGGGACCTTATAGATCATCTAATCTAAATCCATCATTTTAGAGATAAGGAAAGTGGGCCCTAGAACAAGGGTTCTTAACCTGGGGTCTGTGAATCTGAATAGGGAAAAAACAAAAAATAAAAAAACCACATTTTTATTTTCAATAATCTCTAACTGAAATTTAGCATGTCTTTCAATTATGAATTAAAAAAAATTATTCTGAGAAGTATATATAGGCTTCACCTAGACTGCAAAAGAGATCCATGACATACAGAAAAAAGTTAAGAATTCCTGCCTTAGAGAGTCAATTTAATTCAACCATTCTGGAATCAGAAAGATGTGGGTTCAAATCCTGCCTCTGACCCATACTGGCTGTGATTCTAAGCAAGTCACTTAAACTCTTAGTGCCCCCAAGACACTCTCTAAGGTATTAAGTTGTAGAGAAGATGCTGATCTTAACTGAAAAAGGGGATTTCCTTACCAGGAATTCCCTACTTATCACCCCCCCCCCAAATAGATATAGCTCTATCTACCTATTATCTATATTAAGTACTAGGTGTTCAGGAAACAGACAAAAGTGAAACAGTCTGTACCCTCAAGGAGGGGAAGAAACTGGGGGGGATAACAACATGTAAGATAAGTAAATACACAATAATTTCTATGGGAGAGACTCTAAGGACTGGGGAAATCCAGAAAGGCCTCTTAAAAGGTGGTAGCACTTGAGGTACCTTTGAGGGAAACTAGGGCTTCCAAGAGGCAGAGGAAGGGGCCTATTCCAGGCATGGGAGACAGCCCGTGCAGAAGCATTAATAAGGAACTATGTACAAGTAGCAAAGTTTGGCTGGATGTTAGAATTTCTAAAGCGACACTCCACAATGTGAAGGGGTTTAAATGCCATATAGAGGGGCCTGCACTTTATCCTAAAGGAAACAGGCACCTACTGAAGCTTCTTGAGAAGGGGAATGACATGATCAGACCTGTCCTTTAAGAATGTCAATTTAGCTGCTTTGTGGAGGATGGATTCTAGAGGCAAAAAATTTGAGACAGCGAAGCCAATGAGGAGACTACCGCAATGGTCCATGCAAGAAGCAGTAAGAACTCACAGGGTGCTTGCAGTATGAACAAAAAACTGGAAGTGACTTGCCTAAGGTCACACAGCTAACAAGCAGCAAAACTGGGATTCAAACCCAGTTCTGACTTCCAGGCTTGTGCTAGTTTCACTACACCCGGATGACAACAGACTTTTAAAAATCTGTTACCAGAAGGCGAGGGCTGAATCTGCACAGTGCTTGGCGGCAAGGTTTCTCCCCAGAGTTCAGCAAAGAACTCTGTATTCCCTCCCAAGGACGCTGTCACTACACCCCCAGAGCCACAAGTTCAAGCTGGCCCAAGGGCACAGAACAGGCGGCGGCGGCCAATCTCAGAGCAAACCAGAAGGAACCTAAGACGAAGAGGGTCTCCTGCGAGGGCTCAAGTAATCCCTCCTTACCCCAGCTCCCGGGCCAGGGAGGCTCCTACGGCCTGGATGCTCGGGTCACCACGTCTGCAGGGACACAACACCGGAGCCGGGTCGGGTTTGCATCGGCAGCTGAAGGACCGTATGCACTGCCAGGGCCTGCTCCCTCCCCCGCCCCTCGCGAAGGGGAGCGAGGCCTTGGGGCCGGATCAGCCCCGGGGCTTCCTGGGCGTCCCTCTCCGAGTCTCCCGGCCATCCACGCGGCCTCAGGCCGTGAATCGTGCCGGAAGTGCGGACCACGGCCGCCGAACTACCTACCTCCTGGGGCTGCGGTGCGGAAAGCGTCCGGGAGACGCTCGGAGCGCCACCGAAACGGGAGGGGCGGCCTCGGGGGCTACGCAGCAGGGAGGCTCGCACACCGGGGGCATAAGGTCGCGAGCGCCGCGTCCGCGTCGCCTCGCAACGGCGCGTGGGGATGACGCAAGAGGGGGCGGGGCCGCGCAACTCGTTCCTCGGGGTCCGCCTTCATGAGCTGGCGCGTCTGGCAGAAGCTGGCTGCTGTAGCGGGGATAGCTACGGCCTCCGCCTCCACCGTCGGAGCCCGGGCGGCAGGTGAGGCGACGAGGAGCGCGAGCCGGGACGGACGTCCGGAGCCTGGTGCCTCTCCTCTCCGCTCCCGCCGCTTTCCAGGAGCCGTGCTGAAGCGACGGGAGCCGGGAGGGGACAGGCAGGGTCTGAGGAGACGGAGCTCGAGGACGGGAGCCGGGACGGGACACAGGCGCCCCGGGGGCTGAGAGCCGCCGCTGTTCGCAGTCGCGTGGGGGTACCTGGGGGCAGGGGACTCACGTTGCCATAAAGGCCGAGTCCCGGGTCCCCCGAAGCCCGGGCCCTCAGCCCTGCGCTGTCCCCACGCCCTCCATTCCCCGTGGCCGCTGGGAGGGGGGCGTGAAACTTGTGCCCGAGTCGCGTGGAGCTTCCTGCCCGCGGGTCAGGGGCTCTCAGGCTTTCCATCCTCGGCTACCCCCTGGCGGAGGACTGTCAGGTGTGACTCACCAGGCACGGCTTCCCTCCCTTGATGAAGCCCTTCGTGGTGGTCATCATGCCCCTAGTTATCTGGCCTTATAGCCCCGGCGCTTTGAGTGCTGTGTGCTACTCTCGACTGAGGTCTTTTTACATAATGAGCGAGCATGTATTAAGCGCCTACTGTGTACTCCAAGCACTGTACTGTGTGCACTGGGGATACAGGAGGAAGAATGAAATTTTTTTGTAAAGGCAGTTGGGGTTAAGTGACTTGCCCAGGGTCACACAGCTAATAACTGTCAAGTGTTTGGTCTGAGGGCGGGTCTGAACTCAGGTCCTCCGGACTTCAGGGCCGTTGCTCTATCCACTGCGCCACCTGGCTACCCCCAAGAATGAAATTTAAACAACGTTTAACTTAATTCGGTCTTCTTGTTGTTATTTAAAGCAACCATATTTCTGCTGGATTTAACCTGAAGGAAGTTTCTCTAAATTTTGCTTTGCTTTGTGGTTATTTTGTATTGGGAAAGATTCAGTTCAGTTCAACTAATGGTAACTAAGTGTCTTATGTGAGCAAGGACTTAGACTCTGTGAGAGCGGGAGTGGAATCAAAGAAGTACCCATCAGTGGTTGTCCATTCCTTGCTTAGAGACCTTCAGTGAGGTGGAACCCGCTGAACTAGGTGCCTGTTCCTCTTTTGAGCAGCTGTTCTTATTAGAATGTGCATCCTAACGGCAAGACTAAATGTGCCTCAGGATCACTTCTACCCATTGTCCTTGGTTTTGCCCTCTGAAATGAAACGGAACAAACCACTCTTTCCTCCTAATGCTATCCTTTCAGCCACTAAAAATCGTTGTCATTCCCTCCCTGAGCCTTCTCTCATCCAGGTAAACAATCTCAGCGCCTTCAGTCGGACTTCATATGGTCCAGGGCTGGGGTGAGGCAGACCCTCCTTGCTCTCTGGGTCTATTAAAGCCTCTGGACAAATGCACAAATAACTGATATAATGCAAGTGCCCAGGCAAAGGGCTATAAGAAATATGAGAACAGAGTTTCCTTTTACCTGGATGAGCAGGGTCGGGCAGAGGAGAACTTCATATAGGAATTGAAACCTGAGATGGACCTTGAAGGTAAGGGGGAGAATTAAAAAAGAAGAGAGAGCGCTGGAGTGTCCATTCATTCTAAGAATCTTAGGATGATATGAGCAAAGATGTAGAATTAAGAAAGGGTAAAATTTGTGAGAATAGTATTATGAGGTAAGACAGATTGGAGTCAAGTTGTGAATGGCCTTGAATGCTGTAATTAGGGGTTTATAACAGCAATACATGTGGTTTACAAAGTGCTTTTATCTATACTGCTTCATTTGTGTGATTTTTTTCCCCCCATAGTCTGAAGGATGAATTTTAGAGGGAAGATAATGGAGGCAATAGCCAGTTGGGAGATGATTACAGTAGTTTAAGTAAGAAGAGATAGAGCCTGAATAAGGGTAGTATCTGTAAGAATGGAGAAGAGGGTATTAGAGGCAAGTAATATCTTGGAAGTAGAATCAGTAGGATATAGCTGATTAAATGTAGAGGAAGAAGTATAGGGAAGAGCCAAAGAGAACCCCAAGGATTCAAGTTTGAGGGATTGGGAAGATTGTGGTACCCACAACAGAAATAGAGAAGTCAGGCAAAGAGAGGTTTTAGGGGACAGAGGCCAAGCTCATTTTGGGTCACCTTAACTTTGAGGTGCTGGTAGCAAATTCAGGTGAAGATGTCTAGTGGACAGTTGGAGATTCAGGACTGAAGCCCTGGGGAGATTTAGGGTAGAGATACAGGATTAGCCATGTCCTTATTTAGTAGTTGTCCCCTGTTAATTTGGTCATGCTTCAGATGCCCAGCCTCTCTCCTCTAAGCATCAACCCTTAAAACTGGGAAGTACCCAAAAATAGTTTGATGTTTGGGGATAGGAAAAAGAGCTGCTGATTGGGAAGAGAAGCTGAAAAGGGAATAGATTGTAAAACAAGTTAAAAGCAGTTTCTTCGTCTTTCTCAGTTCCCCCTCTAACCCATTCCCTTCAATCTGATGTGGGAACAATAGGGAAAACTTTTTTTGGAAAAGAAATGCCATTCTTTCTTCTTTCCTGAGCTGAGTTGATCATCGTGGTGGTCATAGGAGCAATAGGAGGGTTGAGGTTGGTAGTGAATAAACTTGTCTTACTTTCATTTTTGGTTTGATAAAAGAACACGCAGTGCTGAAAAATGTACCTTCTTTCCTATGCAAAGATATAGCTTATTATTTGTTAAAGTTTTATTATTACCCTTTTGTTTTTACACCAAAATTAATTCTCTTTAATCAATTCCTGTTCCCCCAAATCATTCCTTAACATGAAATCTACAAAATGAAATCCTCCGTGACATGAAACTGACAAAATCCTAACATGAAAAACAATTAGGCAAAGCCAACCGAAAAACAACCAGATCTTATAGTATATGCTCTTCAAAAACCAGTTGTGGTTTACTATCCTATATCACTATGTGTACTGCCAAAGGTCTTTATCACTCAAAACCAATAAGTTGAAAAAACAACTCCTCCCTAAACCCTATCCTGCCCTCTCAATACCTATTTCCTCATTCTCCCTAGGCCCCTGAACTCCTGAAAATTCTTATACTAAGCTTCTCATATAGTGCAAGTCTGGGCAGTAGAAAATGTAGATGTTTTACTGGTCTCCAATATAATTTGGGTTAGGACACATTGCTTTGATCTAAGAAACTTTAGAACATACAATGTCAGAGCTGGAAGTGTTTTTTAAAAAATTTATTTATTTTTAGTTTGCAAGATTCACTTCCATAAGATTTTGAAGTTTTTAATTTTCTTCTCCTCCCCAAGATGGTGTGCGATCTGATATAGGCTCTACTTATACATTCATATTAAGCATATTTTCCCAGTAGCCATGATGTAAAGAAGAATTAGATATAACAGGAGGAACCATAAGAAAGAAGAAACAAAACAAAACAAAAGAAATGGAGAGCAAATAGTATGCTTCCATCAGCATTCAGACTCCATCGTTATTTCTCTGGGTGTGGACAGCATTTTCCATCGTGAGTCTCTTGAAGTTGTCTTAGATTCTTGCATTACTGAGAAGAGCTAAATCTATCAAAGTTAGTCATTGCACAGTGTGGTTGTTTACTGTCAGCACTGTTCTCCTGGTTCTACTCATTTCACTCAGCATCAGTTCATATACATCTTTCCGGGTTTTTCTGCCTGCTATTGTTTCTTATAGCACAATAGTATTCTGTTACATTCATGTACCACAACTTGTTTAGCCATTCCCCAGTTAATGGGCATTCCCTCAATTTACAATTCTTGGCCACCACAAAAAGAGCTGTTGTAAATATTTTTGTACATGTGGGTCCTTTTCTCATTTTTGTGATCTCTTTGGGATACAGACCTAGAAGTGGTATTGCTGGGTCAAAGGGTATGCACAGTTGTATAGCCCTTTGGGCATAGTTCCAAAATGCTCACCAAAATGATTGGATCAGTTCACAGCTCCACCAACAATGCATTAATTAGTGTTCCAATTTTCCCACATCTTCTCTAACATTTATCATTTTCCTGTTTTGTCATGTTAGCCAATCTGATAGATGTGATGTGGTACCTCAGAGTTGTTTTGATTTGCATTTCTCTAATCAATAGCGATTTATTTATTTTTTTAATGAATTTATTTTGATTTATCAACAATCACTTCCATATGCTTTTGAGTTTAAAATTTTTCTCCCCCTCCCTCCCCATCCCTCTCCCCAAGACGGCGCACAATCTGGTATAGGCTATTCTTGATCTCTCATAGACTCATTAGCTTCCACTTGCCCAATTCTAATTTTTAATGAGTTGTTTTCTTCGATTAGATTTTGTACCTCCTTTTCCATTTGGCCTATTCTACTTTTTAAGGAGTGGTTTTCTTCAGTGTGCTTTTTTTCCATTTGGCCAATTGTATTTTTTAAGGACTTGTTCTCTATAGTTAACTTTTTTCCTTCCTTTTCCAAGCTATTGACTCTATCTTGCATACCTCTCATTTCTTTTCCCAATTTTTCTTCCATCTCTCTTATTTGACTTTTAAAGTCCTTCTTGAGTTCTTCTAAGAAGGCTTTTTGGGCTTGAGACCAGTTCATATTCCCCTTTGAAGTTTGACAATATTGTCCTCTTCTGAATTTGTGCCTTAATCTTCCCTGTTTCCATAATAAGAATCTATGGTCATTGTACATTTCTGCTTTTTGGTCATGGTGTTTGTCTATTTCCTGACTTTGAAAAAAAGTTGAGCTCTCCTGCTGGAGTGCAGGAGGTAGTGACCCAGGCTTCTTGGGCCGGGAGCCTAGGACCTGGTCACTGGCTTTGTGTGCTGGGGTCTCAGGTGCTGGCAGTTGGAGGCTGTAGGTTTTGGCAGTTTACCTGGTGTCAGTAACAGGGTGGGGGTGGGAAGTCTGGCCCCTGGGTGATGCTTGATCACCCAGGCCTTGCACTTGTGTGGTTGGCTGCTGAAGGATGTCTGTCAGCCTGGAGCTTTGCCTCCTGGAGTTGTGCTTCCCAGAGTTGTGCTGAGGCACCAGGAGATTTGGCTGCTGGAGAATGCCATAGCATGTGGCTTTCCAAGCTGGTGTCTACCAGTTCCTCTGCCTGTACTGAGGAGCTCAGGGTCCTGATGTTAGTGTTTGTCTGCTCTACCACCCTGGGGCTGAGGATCTCCCCTGGTACGCTGAGGTGGGGCTTGCTGGCACACCTTTTATCCTGTACTGCTCTCCCTCCCCCAGAGTGAGAGGGGCCTTTCTTGTTAATCTCCCGAGCTTCCTGGGCTATAAGACTGCTGCACCCTGTCTTTCTGCTGGTTCAGCTGTTCCTGGGTTTTTCCTGGAGCGATATTTTCTGGACTTTCAGAGGTCAATAAGGGAGGGTAAGAGTGACTTACTTCTTACTCTGCCATCTTGGCTCCCCTGGAAGTCTTTAGAACATAGAATGTTAG